GTACACAACAAATACAGTTTTTACTAGGCCTGTGCAATTAAGGAAAAAAAGATCTTCGCTCATTACTAAATGGGTGGGGGGAGATATTTATTTATTTATTTATTTAAAACATTTATATTCCGCCTTTCTCACCCCGAAGGGGACTCAGGGCAGAGCACAGCATATATATGGCAAATATTCAATGCTGGGACAAGAATTCATATACGCATACATAAAACATTAAAAACATTTATCTCAATATTAAAACACACCATTTAAAACCGTTCTAAAGTGTTTCTAAAATATCATAAGGGGTCTGTATCATAACTATATTGATATAACTTTTTTGTTACTTTTTTGTTATGTAATTGCACAAGTGGGGAAGCTTCTGGGGCTCCTTTCTCCCTCATTTTTAGAGCTATCAGGATGAAACTTGTTACAGTCGTAGAAACCACTGTTACCCCCCCCCAAAGTTTCAGAACATTTCACATATCCACTGATTTTGGGGAATTAAAAAAATTATGAACTTTAAAAAAATTACTAGAGCTGTCTCCTTGAATTTCTATTCTCAATGATACAACTTAACCAAGCTTTCATTCCCCTGGGTTTCAGAAAGATTTGCACATCCATTGATTTTAGGAAATTTTAACCAACATACACTTAACCATACTACTTCTCTGAAAGACCCCAGGGTCATCCTGTCCAACCTCCATCTGCCAGGCAGGAAAAGCACAGTCAAACCATCCCCAACAGATGCCCATCTAGCCTTTGAAACAATAATACTAATACTAATAATAATAGTAAACCTACTAGGTAAACTTCGGAGTTACTGCCTCTCAACTTTGCCTATCTCGCAGGCACTCCCAACAATCCCCTTTGATCTCGAAAGCAGTGGTTCTCAACCTGTGGGTCCCCAGGTGTTTTGGCCTACAACTCACAGAAATCCCAGCCAGTTTACCATTGTTTTGAATCTTAAGTTTTTTTGCATGGGCACTGCCTGCATTTCTTAGTACCATGGCGTATGTAAGAAGCTTATGAAATACATCTGACAATACAAGGTACAAACCTTTTACACAGCCCTAGTTTTTACACTAGTTGTTTATAGTTCATTAAACCATGTATTCATGTGTAAATGGGTTCATCAGAATCTGTTTCCAAGCAGGGTGATTGCTTTTTCATCTTGCTTATAGGAAGGCGACCTCTACTGCCATGAATATTCCACTTTTCGTAATTGCTGAGGGCTGAGTGTTGATTGTGCGAAATATTGTGTAGAAAATAAAATAAACAGCAGGAGGAAGACAGATAATTGGGTATAACCATGCCATATTAAGAAGAAAAAAAGAGAGAGAATCTTATTTCTATTCATTTCAAATTTATATCTAGTTAAGGCTATCTGACATGTTGACATTAGCTTTTGAGAAACATCAAAAGTCCAGTTTATTTACTAGCTAAATTGGAAGATGCCCCCACTTAACAAACAGGAAAGCAAAGATGTGGCTGCTGTAGAATTACTGAACATCTATTTTTTTTTCTGAGCTGTTCAAACTAACATGCTTACTGGCCTGTTTGTTGCATGACAATATTTATATATTTATCTGCCATGAAAAATTGAGCCTTGGTTGACTGCAAATATTAATCAGCACCACCATATACTCACTGTGATTATTCTAACCATTCTATTTTCTCAGAACAAACCTAGTTTGTTCATCAGCTTTAACTTGTAGATGACTTCAGAGTCTTTAGTGTATAGTGTATACATAACAAGACATAGTATCAAAGTTTTGGGGAAAATAGTACTTGTTAATATTTTCGTTCTTAAAGATTTCTTTAGTTAATGATGTTACTAAAATCTTAATCTATAGCTGCAGGAAAAACTAACCTGGCTTTTCAAATACACTTAAAAAATTACAACCCCGGAGAGTGCATGTTTTATAAATACTTGTCTTATTTTTCTCTGTTGGTCAACAGCATCTGTTCTGAAAATGGGTGTGTGTGGGGGGGGGGGGGGGGGGGGGGGGGGGGGGGGGGTAGTCTTCTTTCCCAAGTGTGTTTTTCCAAAAAGATTTGAAAGTTAGCAATAGTAGGAAGTGCTTTTGCACTAGATAATTCCTATTTACATATTCACTTTATCATGTTGTCTTGAGGAAACTGATAACTGAAACTGTACATCATCTTAATCTTTCTAGTGTAAAATGTTTTGTGATGTTTCTGACAACCAGTAATTGGTTGGGTTGCTTGACAAATACAGTGAAAAACTCTTCTGCTTCTAATATAGTTCTAAGTGTGAATCTGATTAACATATAAACAACCATTTTGGGATGCATGAACTAAAATGTGGCTATTCCTTTTGACAAATCAAGTTTTCAGCATTCTGTTTACTTTTTCTGCACATAATATGTCATTAAATTGAGCTGTATTGGTTATTTACCAATTGACTTTGGCTTAAATGGCACCTGTGTCTTATTCTACCCTACTAGTTGAACATGTTTAGTGTGATTCAATGGAGCAGAATATTTTTTAAAGTAAAACAGTATTTTTATGACTCTTGTGAAAGCAACTTCTTAATTTTTATAGAACTGACATTGATTTTTGAGTGCATTTTGTGACAGTTTTGTACAATTTGTTCACAAAATCAAGATGCTAGTCAAAGAGTGATATAGTACATATCTACATCAGTTTAACCAATAGTCATCTTAGATAAGAATAGCTGCACTTACCTCTTTCTTGATTACAGACCTGATTCCTCATAGAAATATCTAATTTCTCTCAATTCCTAAGCTATCATATAGCTCCTTTCAAGAATAAAAGGAAGAATGTCCCCATCGGAATGCATGCACACAGTTTTCATGCAGCTCCTTTGTTAATAAGTTATTTTAACGCATGTTGGTGACACCTGTATCTTTGTAATGGAACGAATTGTCAGATAGGTGTATAGAATTAGGTGAAAGGGAAATATTGATCTGTAAAAGTAAGGAAACTAAAAAACCCATCCAGCAGCAGTGTTTGTTTATGCTCAAAATGTTTCTGCATTTGTATGAGCAGTATGGGTTTGTCAGTTTGGATTCTTACTTAGAATGTTACTAAGAAATTGCAGTATCTTGGATCAGGATGGCAGGCAATTTTAAGAAAGGAATCATTCCTTCTTTTCATCAAATTCTCACTTTGAAACAATTGATCATCAGGTAGTATAAATTAGTAGTATTCAAAGTGGTGCTCCTTGAACTGGTGCTGGTCCACAAACTGTTGGCTGCCAGGGAGTTCATAGACAAGACAGAAATAGTTGTAGCCAAAGGATACAATTATGGTACCAACCATGGCATAGTAGGAAAAAGATACTGGTGACCCAGATCTGATAGCATGAGAAACACTGGTATAAAATTTAGTCTTATAATAATTGCATAATAATTTCAATGTTTTTTCTTACATTAATATTGTAGTTAACAATCTAGAAAACTCAGATCAAGATGTTTTTTATCTTATAAAGTTTTACATGTAAAATGAATGTCTTTTACAAAAACGTTTATTGTACAAACATGTAATCAAGAGTACTCATTTATAATAACATAAATTTCATAATTAGTTAAAAAAAATAAGCTGATTTAAAGAAATAGCGAGCATTCCAAATACACGTTCAGACTGCAAGAGCAAATCAGTGCTAAAATATAAACAAAAGCTAGACTATAAATTAAAACCATAAATAATGAGCAACATTTTGCACCCTTCTTTGTTACCTGAAATGTCCTCTAGGGCATGAGAAGCCCCAAAGAATTGAACAAATTTTAGTTTTGATTAGACTTACACAGGTTTGTGCTGTTATGAAGTCAAAAGTGAATGTGTCTTAAAAGTATAATTAATTAAAAATATATTATAACTTCCCCCTAAATTACACAAGTATTATTAGTATGACATCCTACATTGTTACACAGTTTCTTTTCTTTTATTTGTATATTAACCCAACAATTATAGGCTACTGCTGTTCTCATTTCACAGAAGACCTGGTTCTAAGACATGAAGTATGGTTTTCTCATTGTAAGTCTATGATATAAACAGAACTTTAATACAGAATTAAAATAGATATTTTGGGTTGCAGATAAAACAGACCAAGTTCATAAATTACTTAATTTTCAGTAGCACAATTCTGAAATATTTTAATATTGAAATGAAATATATACAACTATTATGCAATATAGTTTAAAAAGTCTTCCATTCATTCTTAAATCAACAGTGCTTTAATTTGTGGATACAATTATATTATTTTTAAAACAGTGAGTAACAATTCTGGTTTATGAAAAAAAGGAACACCCAGTATTTCTAGTTGGCCAGTACTTTATTGGGACAAACGAAAATGCTGCAAAGGCATGCAAGGTTTTGCATTCTTCAGAACTCTTAATCAGACAAGAAGGTGCCAATAATATCCACCAGCAAGTAGAGGATGGGAAGAGAAACAAAAAAGTCCCAATTCTCTTACTTTTGTTTCTTCCTTCATCATTTTGTACTACCTTGCCTAATTAAGGAAGTTGAAGATTTGAAAAAGTCCAGACTTTTGTGGCATTCTGTGGCATTTTTATGAGACCATTACTCAGCATTGATTTTGTAATTTATAGACTATTTACTGCTTATACTCTTCTCAGAGTTTGGGTTAGAACTTGCATGAAAGAGCGACATTTGCAGGTTGTTAGCAAAAGAAGGGCAAATGTTACTTGGTAAAGAATTATCCTTTCCCCACAAGATACTCTGACACCATGAGACAGTAGTACGCTCTTGAACAGGATATTTTCGGGGCAGATGAAAGTCTGAAGTAATGCTGGTGTGTGTGTGTTTGTGCTCATCCTCAGGTGATACTGTTTGTAACCTAACATCTTGGATGTGTTGTGACATGCTTTTCGTTTATTACTGGCTCATTCAATATAGTGTACTACTAGTTTAACTTTTTTTAAATGGGAAAAAATACTAACATGGTTTCTAGTTGTTGTTTCTGTGTTCTTCCCTGTAATGTCTCCACCATCCGTGTTCTTTCGTAGCCTTCAAGATGTTCAGCAAGGGCAGCAGTCCACAGCCCAAGTCAGAGTCCAGTCCCGCCCCCATTCCCAGGCTGCTGTGCTCAGCGCTAGTGCCTCCTTGCTGGTGAGAAATGGGAGTGTCCACTTAGAAGCAACACATGACAATGCATCTGCTGTCGGCAGCAGCAGTTTGCACGATGAACTTGGTACGCAGGCCTTATGTAACCTTGGTGAAACTAAAGTGTTATGGATTTATGGATTATAGTGCATTGTAATATCTTTACTCATAGTTTCATTTTGGAATGTTGGAGGTATGTTTCTTAGAACAAGTCACTTGTAGTCTTTTTTTTTTTTGCAACACTTAATCGGTTAAACTATTATCCTAGAACTGAATCATTGTCTGAAAATACCAAATTAGGTCTTGTCCTGCATTGATGACTACTGTATATCCTGCCATTGCCTGTGTGTCAGAGAGGCTGCTGCCCCCATGATTTCCCTTTCCCTCCCCTCATACATTTAATCCTTTCCTTTCTCTTTCATCCTTTCTTCCCACATTTTTCTTTCTTCTCTTCTCCCTCCCTTTCTATTTCCATTAATTTCCTTCCTTTCCTCCCTCCTCCCTCCCTCCTGTCCCTCATACATGTCACCTTTCTTTCCCAATGACATCAAAGAGAGCAATAGCCAATCCAGAGACATTACAGAAGTCACTTCAAGCAAGAGTGTGGTACAGACAGAGACAGATAGACAGATATACTTGACTTTTATATATATAGCTATTGGAGTCATATCATAGTATGTCAGATACCATGCTTCAACTTATCACAGTGTTTTTGAAAGCTTATTTAAGCTGAAGCTAAAACCAAGTAGGTTTATTTAACCAGAGTTTGAATACCCCTCCCCGCTAGCCTGCAGTCTTCTGCATTTCCCTCAAATAGTCTGTAAGATTTATAAAACATTTCAGGACCAACTTGTGTGGCATGCAGAGGACTTCGGAGAGAGGTGCAAATCATTTTGCCAGTGGTGTCCACTGCAGTGGTGGAAGGATACCATTTTATCAAATCTATGAGGCTGTAGGTGATGGTTAATCCTCATGTTAGTGAAAAATTATGTAATTTAGGATTCAACATGAATATTCAGAGTACCATTAATTTCAAATGTTGTTGTGCTCTGACACTTTTGTATTAAAACTACAGTTATAATTTACTGCCCTGCACAACATATGTAATTATTTTGTATTTTGACTCAAATGTCTAGTTTCTGTAATAGAGATGGCATTTAAATTTAGAGCAGTAAGAAAGCAGAAAAAGAAACAGATGTTCCATGCGTCATACTATCCTGACATTTTTATAACTGAAACTAAGATGTTGAAATATTAGTCTAAATATTTTTATTGATTTTGAATTCAGAATACATAATTGCCAGTTGCAATGGGAATAATATTGTAAAGAGTGTGTAATACTGGATTGTTCTAGGTTTGTACAAAATGTGACATTGTATGACTTTCCAATGGTCAGATCTTTTATGCAGAATCCTATCAATATTTTAAGTTAGTTGTTGCTTGGTAGCTTCTCCTTTTCCAATAGGGTGAAGACTTTTGCAATTTTGCCATAAATATAAAACAATATTGAATCTAATTTGAGCACTAGCACTTATGATCATGGAAATATTTTGTTCTCGACTCTTGATTCTCTTGATTTTAAAGACTCTTTAAAATAATCAAGTCAAAATTTTATGCTGTATGCACTACTAGTAGCCATGTAAAATTGGAAGAAACATCTTTCAAAGCAAATGATCTTACTTGCTTATTTGAAAATCACAGGTTATTTATGTTTTCCAGATGTGTTGTTTTCTGGTCTGTTAATGCTTTCTCTCACCTATTCTGATGGCAAACTAAAGCATTGGAATAGGTTGTTGGTATCTCATGACTGAGAACAGGGTTTTTTATTTGACATAAATTGTTTTGGTAGCACCACATCTCCGCTTGAGTAATTGTTGGACTCAAAAGCAGCCATCTGTGAATAGGCATCTGTGAACAAAGTTATCTTGCAGTTACTGTTGAGCTGTCAGGTAAAACCATTCATAGAGTATCTAAAAACAGCTGGTGTAGACACAAAACTACAAAATGCGGGGGAATTATGTTGCTGTCTCTGATAAGTTTCTTCTGTATTATTTCAATCACAGGTACTACAATTGGAAGTAAAAAGGAGAAGGGTGGTAAAGTTCCATCACTGGAACTTAGATTTCTCAGTCACAAAATTGTTCTTTTTTCTTCTTCCATCTCCTTTCCCACTTTGGTCATTTCCTTATATGTCCAACTAGAAGGAAAATTAATGATTTTAGAGATGGGATGTCTGTTTCTGTGTTGCGCCTCATCAGCTGTGAAGATTGTGACAGACATAGATTTATTCTTACGTGCTTAAGAGGATTCTTACTTCATTTCAGACAAGTCCCATATCTGACATATTTGCGGAAACAGTTTTAATTATTTTTGATTAATATGTTTGGCTCCCTTCTTTTCCTGACGGAATGAATAAAGGAGTCAGCCTTTACATTCATGACTCTTTTGGTTCATTTTACATCATTGTCAAACAGTGTTGTCTGAACAGATACATTTATTTATATTCAGTTGATCTCTCATATTAATTTTCCCAAGGAGCAACACAAATTGTGAGTACTTGAAATACTTGATTAGTGTTCGGGAACTTTGAGATAAGGATTGTTTTTCATGTACAGCAGTAACCAGTTTCCATGAACAGTACAACTAAGAATAGGGAAGAGAGGAGGCCAAGTTGTTGGGAAACAGTTTTAAATGGAGATTTAGTGCATACATACATCTCTTCTACAAGATTTTACTTTTTCCTCTCAATCTTGTGGTTTAATATTACAGAATTAAATCAAATGTTGAAAGCCAAGTAAGTTTGGAACTGTTTAGAATTCCTTGTGTATTTTTTATGCTCAAAAAATAAGAAGGGCAACTGCAGGAAGGCTCTCAGGATGATTTTTATTGCAGTGAGGTGCCATCTACTGTTCTGCTGAAATACTGCAAAGTTGAGTAGTTCATCGTGTTCCTACCAGTGACACCCAGCCAGTATAATATACAACTTCAAGCACTGGACTATATTGTACCATATAAAATCTAATTTTATTTTAATTGTGATGCATGAAGAATCTTTGGTATTGGTGTCATGATGGAATCTGCTGCTTTCCTGTTTGAAAATGATGGCTTAGCAGCAGACGAAGCCAAGGCAGATTTCTTGTTTTGCTACATGATGGCAGTGGCAAGTACATCTTGTTCTTCACCTTGTGCTTTTCTGCTTAAGGAATTATGTCTGCCTAGTTGTTACGTTTTTAATTCTTTTAATCATTTTAGCTCTTTTTGTGACTTGGCAAGGTTCTTCTTTTGCTAGCTGGGAGTCCAGTGTCTGAATAGGAATTAAACTCTAGAGATAACATGGGCATGTTGCGCCATGAAGCGTTTAATTTTTCTCTCTTCTTCTTCAACAATCCTCTGCTTGAATTGTATCACAAGATCATTTTGCACACATTTCAAAAGCATTTTACTGTATAAAAGCTCACAGTTTAAAAAAAGAGAAGATCTCTATCACTTTGTATTTATAACCTGCTATGTATATTTAATGGAACTTTCTAGATTGCTATTAGGACAATAATTCATTTGCCGGTTGATTTGGTCTTGGGAAGATGTGAAGGACTTTTTATTTGCGTGTCATTCAAAGTAGTCAAATAAGTATCATCATCATCGTTATCATCATCATTTCTCTAGAGCAAGGGTGCACCCTCAGCTCTTGGTGTGGAGTTCTCTTCTCTTCCAATGTTAACTGGCTTTGGCTCTCTTTTTCTATAGACCTAGAGGGCTGTATTCAAGGTTTCAGTATCTTAGATTCACCTCTTTGTGAACATGGATTCAATGATCATATTAAATATTTTTATGTGGTACCTAATATGAGGAGGCATTTTCTAGTTTCAAATGACACAGTGTAAAGATCACTATTAATTTCTTCTTGGCATTTCAAGTACATGAAAGCAGAGAGATAACTGTATGGTGAGAAGATTTGGATGATGCTACACCCACATAAGGTTACTTTCACAGTGGCTACTGTGGTTTCTTGTGGTTTGCATCTCATCTTGAATAGGTTCTTTTTGTTAGATGTTTGAATAGCATACTATATATCTGAAACAGTGCCACATTATATTTTCTCCTGTTGTATGTTTATTTCATATCTTCCTTCAGTCTAGAGGCCCATGGATGCTCCAGTGTCCACAGCAGCCATGCTGGGAAAAGGTATGGACTGGAATTGTACCCAATGGCTCTGATAGTAAACATGATATCAGAGCAGTTCAGTTAACGCTCTGGGAAAGGGAAAAGTCTTTCCCTTGCTTTTTCTAATAAATGTACATCTTTCATGGAATAAATTGCTCTTTAATGGTGAGCCAGGAAACAGGAGATGTTTTCAGTCTCCATTTTAAACTTAGATCATGGCAGCCTGTTTGTTTTTCTCCTTGAGGAGAGCAGACCTTGTACAAATAGTTGAAAGAATTAGTTATTTCCGAGCAACCAGGGTGCATCCTTTTTTCTTTGAATGCGATTCCTGCTTCTTGGCAGGGGGTTGGTCTGGATGGCCCACGAGGTCTCTTTCAACTCAATGATTCTATGATTCTTAGCTGTTGGGGACAGTTGAGAAATTAAATATCTCTTTTTCCTGTACAGGCAGTTCTCGAATTACAAACGTTCAACTTACAAAAGACTCATAGTTAAGAATAGGGATGAGACAACAGGAACTGAGAGAAATCTACCCCTAGGAAGGGAAATTCACTCCTGAAAGAGTTATCATGGAGAAAAGGTGTCGCCATTGAAGCTTTATCACCAAATCCTTGTTTCTACAACAAGCCAAATTTTTGAAAATCCAGTTATCACAGGAACAGAAAGTAAAGTAAATCTAAACAGGGGCATAGACAGCAAAACAAATATCACAGGGGTGTTAACCCTTTCCTATGCTATCCAAAGATAGATAGATAGGTAGGTAGATAGATAACCATCCACACATATACCGTATATATACACATACATACATGCACACATATACCCACACACTTTTGGCTGGAGTTAAACTTTAAAAATATACCTGTTCCAACTTCAATACATCTTAAGAACAAACCCACCGAACCTATCTTGCTTGTAACTTGGAGACTGCTATTAGTAATGTATACTGTGGATAGCAGATTTTGTTGCCTGTAATAAGCAAAATATTCTTTGCCCTTGGTTTCACCAGACTTAGGTCAGGGTGCTGTTTATTTGATGAACAATGCAGCAGGAATGGTTAAATGTTTGTGTGAGATTTCTCACAAAGGAGTGTTACATCTTAGAAAGAGGTTTTCACTTACAAGGTGTTGCAAAACCCACATTTTTATTTGTCATTGTGGACATTTGAACTCCAGATGGATCATATCTTCTCACTTGGAGTCAGATCAGTCTAGCAATTAATGTTATTCTTTATTTTGTATAGGATTTTTTAAAGTGATCATAGCTCAGTATTTACAACGTATAAGTATAAACAGATGTCACTTTCCTAGGGTAACATTTGGTTTCCTATCCATTCTTGGGTTGAATTTGTTTGGCCATAGAAAGTGTCTTCCCTTTCCAAATATTTTTTTATTCTGATTCACTATGTCCACTGACTGAATGTTTGTAATAAAATAGTATTGTTTTAACTTTCTGTCTGTAGGACAAAGAAAAGCTACCTCTAACATGTCATTACAGGTATATATGAGCATAGGGATAATATGTGGTATTGTGTAGGAATAATTCAATCAATATATTTGTTATAAGACAAAATGGATCTGTGTGGAGCTGTATATTAGATTTTTATATTAGATGGAAGCAAAAAAATTGCATATCTATAGCATATGAAACTGGAAAAGAGTGTGGGCACTATGCTCAAATGATTAATATAATAATTTGAAAATATTAGAAAAGATTTATAGAGCAGGACATAACAATTTGTATATGTTTCACATTGATATTGCTATTGAAACAACCTTGTAACAAGCCAATAGTTTTCACATGCAAGAGTGGCAAAATAGATGTCCCTGGTAGCTCACCAGCAGATTCTTAAGTGAGGCAGTCATCCCCTGTTTTTGTTTAGAAGTAGGATTTTTTATGGCTTATAAATAGGATTTGACTAATGACCATGAATGTTGCAATACCTACCACCTTAGCTAAATGGGGTAGTAAATGCTCTAAGAGAACTTTCTTCTGTCTGTCCCAAGCATATTGCAATCATTTGTATTTGAATGAACTCAAGTTTAGTATTATACAAGATATATCATTTCTGCTTGTGAGTCATAGTTCCTAACTGTACTATATCTTTCCTTTGTAACTTGGTTATATTCCTTCCCCTACCTTATCCCATAATAATAGGGGCAATCCCTTAGCTTTTCTTTATAGAGATGATTTTCTATGCTTTGAGATGTTTGAGCTAAAGAGGCTCCTAAAAGGGAGTATATAACAAAATAGATGCTTTAATGTCATAGATAGCAGCAATTTTATTTCTGCTTTGATAGAGTGTGTCATGTATGAGGATCTAGTTTAAGAAAGAGATTTTGTTGGTAATGAAAAAGAGATATGTATGCTCTCTTATGAAGGACTGTCTGTGTATGTTCATTTGCATTCTTCGTTATGAACAATTTGGGCATTGCGCTCTGAACAACCATTTATGGTCTATACATTTGATATGCTTATAAAGTTATAATGAAATTATTTAGGTGATAGCTATGTTAAAGGGAACACATAACATGTATATTAGTTGATGCAGAGATCTGATGGTATTTAATCTATATGACTTTCTCTTCAACAGGTAAGTTCAGTTCTACACTGTACGAGACGGGGGGCTGCGATATGTCACTTGTGAATTTTGAACCAGTTGGAAGAAGAACATCTAATATCTGGTGTGTTTTTGAAAACCACTTTTATGATTTATGCAGCAATGTTGATTTTAACTTGAATTAGAAAATATTTTTAAAAACTTTTAAAAATGTGTTGTGTATTTTTGACAACACAGAACACAATTGTCTGATGCACAGGAGATATTTTTGTCCTGCTACATATTGTGAAACAATAATGGGGTTTTCTCGCAATTTGAATAATGAATGACACCCCCTCCTCCCCACACACACACCAAAATGCATATGAAAATGGCCCTTACTATCTTAAAAAAATTAAGGTAATTGTTTGGGATGAAACTTCACATCAAGTCCTATAGAATATAATAACAAGATCTGCATTTTCATAGCCAAAAATGTTAAGCCTTTCTGGCCATTCTCCTCCCCAGCTGTGAAGAAGACTTTCTCCCCCAAACTGAGGCTGTCATGTTGCTTTTTCAAAATTGGTTTTGCTAATTTGACTAGAAAGCCTTTACAAAGCAAGTAATATTAGTAAGCTAAGGTGATACAGAAGATTGCTCGTACTGTTATGAAAAGGTTATAGCAACTGTGGGCATGGCTGGAAGTGAGATGCGTGGGAACCAACTATGGTATACAAAATAATTAGAATTTGGGGCATGTAACTTCCTTTGGAAAGGTTGTTTTGTACTGTAAAATATTTTCTGACTTAATGGTGAAGATCATAAGGCAACTGTATTGTGGGTTCTTCTTGACATTTGCTTTTGTCTACTTCTGAAGCAGAAAAATGTGATTAACCCAAAATCACCCAGTTAGTTTCCATGACTGAGTGGAGATTTGAACCCTAGATTCAAGAGTCATAGTCCAGTGCTCAAACCACTACACCATGCTGGCTCTCCTTGGGAAAGTAAATTGGCTTATTACTGCTTCTCCCAAATTGGAGCCCCTTACTGTAACTCCTCATACCCACATAAACATATCATGCCTTATATTGATGCTTTAAAAACAGAATTAATTGCATTCCTGAGTCACCCATATCTTAAATACCTTATGTGGACTCCTTTATAAAAGTGAACCACAGAATGTGATGCATTCTAACAATGTGCAGGATTAGGTAGAACACTCGCTTTTAAATAACTAAGTATACATTACAAAATCAGATCTAAAAGGCATGCAACCTCATAAAATTCAAAGACAGCATCTTCTTCTGTTGTTGCTTGGCTCAAATGGGGCTGTTGGGAGGGCTACAGAAAATTAAATGCTTACAAAGAGGTCCTTTTGTTCTAAGCTCTTTTAGCCATTCTATAGGCTGCCTAATGCTGGGCCCTCTAATCAGTTATCCAGGCATCACAAGGAAAGTCTGTCTTCCAATCTGTTTTTAAAATAAAATAATGCCGCAAAAGTGTCTATTTGTCTCTGGAATCGAAACCAGTCCTATTTGCAAAAACAATAACATGTAAATAGCCAGTCAAGGCTAAGTGGTCAGAATTGACACCTTCTTAAACAATATTTTTTTCTCCAGTATTTCAGAGAAATGTAAATTGGTGTAATAGAAATATAGAATATTATTGTTTTAAAAAATCACATTGTGTTGATTGACAAGTTCTTTCATCTTACTTTTTAACTGCCTTTAACTTCAGTGAGTGCTTGAGGAAATCTCCCCCCCCCCTTGGTTAAATCATGTCTCTCCCCCCCCCCCCTTTTGTTGTTGTTGTTGTCCTATTTGCTAAATGGCGTAGCAACTTTATTTAAATTTGGGGAACTAATATCCAAAAATGTTTTTAAAGAAGAGACTTGAACTGAAAAACAGAATGAGATATCAAACTAAAGTCAATTTTTGTTGCTCTTATAGTGACACGGACTCTCATGTATCAAGTTCTACCTCAGTTCGTTTTTATCCACATGATTTAGTAAGTCTTTTACATTTTTTTGTCTTACTTTTCTTCCAAATAATTAAATCATACTTCTATGTTATTAAGGGCGTTTGTTTTATCTAGTTATGTTATTTCACATGCAGAATGGCTTCTGTCAGTGTAAAAATGTGTCAGGGCCGGGGGGGGGGCCACGGGGGACGGACGGACACATGACCCTGGTCTCCCATCTTGTTCTCTGTGCACAACTCAACATCTGAACAGAAAGGGTGGAAAGATGGAGAGAAGGGAATTTTCTCAGTAGATTGACTTTTACTTATTTAGTGGGTACAGCACTTAGTAATTCAAGAGGTCTGCAACTTTAAAATACTAATAACTTTTGTTCAGATATTTTTTTACTTATGATGTTGTTAAGATGCTATTATAGGGTTCCTCTGAGGCTAAGAGAATGTGACTTACCTAATGTCACTCAATGGATTTCTATGTCTGAGCAGGGATTATAGTCCTACTCTCATAGAATCATGGAATCATAGAGTTGGAAGAGACCTTGTGGGCCATCCAGTCCAACCCCCTCCCAAGAAGCAGGAAAATCACATTCAAAGCACACCCGATGGATGGCCAACTACACCATGGTGGCTCTCTACCTTACCTTTGCTTTTGCAAATAATTAAAGCACTACAGACTTCCCAGTTCATTAAATACTGTGAAGCCTATAGTATATTTATATGGTAATCATACTATTCCTGATTGCTTTTGTAGTATTTAGAAAGTGTTGCCTAAGCCAGGCTCAGAATTAAATTATTGTTGCATATAATTTTTGGAGACTCACCAGTAAATAAAGCAGTTGATGGTGCAGAGGAGATGGTGTCTCTCTAAGTTGTAGATAGATCTTATTTTATGTATATACCCATCCTGCAATTTCAGTTCTTTATTTTGTTGGAGGCATCCATACTGCTGTTAGGTATGTGACCTTCAGTATCCCATGTGATTTTCAGGCATCCCTTGCCACATTGATATTCAACAGCATGTTTCTTAACCTGCCTATCCTCAGGTGGAGAGGCATGCAGCCGGTGTAAAAGGAGTAATGAGTATCAAAGGAGCAGTTATCCATAGCAAACCTTGACCCATGCTATTTTATATTCCTTCAAGACTACTGTTTTTAGACTGAAGAAGTGATGACCAAAACCAATATATTACTAATTTTCTTATAGCTTTCCCTCCCCCAGATCAGACTGAATAGGCTGTTGACCATAGATACTGATCTTCTGGAGCATCAAGACATTGACCTAAGCTCTGATCTGCAGGACCATCTACAGCCTCAGGAGGAAGCAGCCCAAAAAGTCAAACACTATTACCGCTTTTGGATCCTGCCCAAGATTTGGATTGGCATTAATTTTGATAGGCTGACTCTTTTGGCTTTGTTTGACAGGTGGGATCCTATGTACTACAGTTCAAGGCATTAGTTTCTCTGCAACTTGGGGGTCCTTGTTCATATGCTAGTGTCTGGTACCAGTGCAATATTGTAATTTTTTCTGATAGCAAATGAAACTGAAATTGAGCCACTAAGAGGAGTTGTGTGTGTATAAGTATGTAGTTGTTAGGGGAACTCGGGAACTCCCTTTCCAGAGAAATTACTTTCTTTTCACAAACAAGTGAAGACTTTTCCTGCGAGACATGAATTTGAAAATTGATTAAGTTTCACCAACTAGTGTGGTCTATCTTGCTCATTATTATGCTACTGTGTGTATGTATTTTCACAAAATATCTTTTTATCTAGTTTTATTTTTATGATATAAACTCCATTTTATCCTATCTTGTGGATGTTTCACTGTAGGGCTTTTTAAATTTTGTTATAAACCACTAAGTTCCAAACTGGGGAAAGCTGAGGTACAAACATCTTCTGCAGTTTTTCCTCAGACATTCAGTTCTGAGATATCTTTGTATGTTTTGTGAACCAATTGTGCCTGCTTATTTAACAGGACTAAGCTAATTCCCCCATAGAATTTTATGGAATATTCTTTTCTCTTTTTTGGCATAATTAGACTGAATTTTCCTAGAAGGAGTTGAGGTTTGGCTGAAATTCCCTGGCTTTTGGCTAAGCCATGGACTCAATCCCATTTTGATCCCATCTGACTTTGATTTTATGCAGTATGTTGAATACTTTAAACACAAATTAGGCCACAGTTGGTTCCATCTGAAATTGATTTTAACATCAAGAGTAGGGAAATAATTTTATACTGATGGTAACGCTGTGTTTGGTTTTGTTCGTTTGCGCTTTTTATTTTTTATTTTTTATTATTATTTGCATTTGTGTAGCCTTTATCCCCATTGCATCAACTTATTCATTTTCCCACTCTTTATATAGGAATCGTGAAATCCTTGAAAATGTGTTAGCTGTCATTCTGGCAATTCAAGTGGCTTTCTTGGGTTCTGTGCTCCTCATAGAGGGTTTCTTCAAGGATATCTGGGTCTTCCAATTTTGTCTAGTGATTGCTAGCTGCCAGTATTCCTTGCTTAAGGTAACTTTTGTCCTCATTTTCATTCACTTTATATTAATACATGATTTAATTACTCTTTTGAGATTAACTCTTCATACTAAGCATTTCCAAAATGTTCTCTATTCCATATCTTATTTCTATACAATGTTTTGAAATCCAGCAAGCACCTACAATACTAATCTAGTTCAGTTGTAATGGGAAGCCACAGATTATTGTTATGCAAACAAACTGGCACTGCCTCTTTGTTTCTTCTCCACTTCCTGTTCACGTGACAGAGTTGGCGACTGTTAGCATCCAGTTTTGTTTTGAAGCTAATTACAGTTCCCTGTAATGTCCAAACTTTAGTGGGATTTGTTTAAAGCAGCTATGCTCTGAGAATAAACTAGGATATTAATCCATTCTTGAGCCCTGTTTGGTTCTCTCTAAACATAGCTATCAATCTTCTACTTCAGATGTCATGGGGAACAGCTTTACAAATGAAGTGATTTGCCACACAGCCTGAACTGATTCAACATCATACCACATGAGAATTCTGTGTTCTTAAATCTATACAAATAATTTCTTGTCACCTTATAAAATATCATTAGCCATCAAAATAATCACTAAATCCCCAGATAGATTTTGTTTTACTATTAAAAGACATGCAGTCTGTAACTGCACGAATTAACCAATATCCACACTGAGGCAAGATCTTTTTTATGAACAGAGCTTTGACATTATGAGTTACTAGGATTGTAGTACCTGTAATAATGTATTTTGAGAGTTTTATTACTTATTTATTTATTTATTTAATAATTTTGAGGGTAATATACATATAGAGAAGTTACATATCACAGGTAACAAGAGAGATGTTACTCTAGGCCTGTGTTTCTCAACCTAGGGGTCCCCAGGTGTTTTGGCCTACAACTCCCAGAAATCCCAGTCAGTTTATCAGCTGTTAGGATTTCTGGGAGTTGGAGGCCAAAACATCTGGGGAGCCACAGGTTGAGAACCACTGCTCTAGACATTTAATAAATAACACTTATAGGTATTATTTTTAAAAGAGTGTACAAAGGTAATTTGAACTCAGTTTCTCTAGTTTTGTGCCTGTTTCTTTCAACCCTGTAGTTTTTTAAAATGTGAAAAATGTAGGAGAAAGAGAAATATACTAACAGCAATGAATTCCTTCTGCAGGTTTGCAACAAGTTATACAACAAATTTCTTTTGAAATTTCAAAGCTCTGGTTACAATCAGACAGAATATCACAAAATTTAAGATTTCTAAAACTGTCCATAAGGTTGGGTACTCAGCAAAGTACTGGCGTTGAAGTAATGGGTGGGATCCAAAATGGTTCTGAAGATCTAGATGCTTGCTCATTATGATACAGAACAGGAGTCCCCAAACTAAGGCCCTTGGACCAGATGCAGCCCTCCAAGGTCATTTACCTGGCCCCCACCCTAAACTTTAGACTTAGGGTTGCCCTAAGTCTGAAGCTACTTGAAGGCCCATAGCAACAACAGTCCTAATTAACCTGACTATCTTGTCAGCCAAAAGCAAGCCCACACTTGCCACTGAAATACTGGTAAGTTTATGTTGGTTAAAATTCTTCTTCATTTTAAATATGTATTGTTCTTTCTTGCACTGTATTTGCACTACAAATACGTTTTGTGCAGTGTGAATAAGAATTTGTTCATGCTTTTTTCTAACTATAGCCTGGCTCCCCAACAGTCTGAGGGACTATGAATTGGCCCTCTTCTTAAAAAGTTTGAGGACCCCTGATATAGAAGCTTGTTTGTGAGGTACTAGGAAAATATTGTCTAAATTGAAAGTTTAATTTTTGTTTCTTATGGACCAACACAGTGTTTTTTTTAGCTTTTGTGAGTATGAATTACTGTGATTATGGTAGTTATCCCTTAGAAAATTAGCATCCTCTTCCTCCTGTTATGTGCATTGGGTTCTTTTTGGTCTCTATATCAAATATTCATTCTCCACTAGAAACAATGCCAGTTACTTTGCTTGACTTTTTTTTGTAAGGTGAGGAACTTGAATAAAAAGCACAATCTGGTTATCCTTGATACGTTTATGAAAAGCCTTTGAATGCCGCACATTAATAATGTTCTACTGCAGATATATCAGACTTTATTTTTTCCTTTCTGTTTTTTAGAGTGTCCAACCAGATTCTTCATCACCTCGCCATGTAAGTTATTCTGTTTGACATTTCAGTAATTTAGCAATATCCCAGAATGTATATAACTTTGAGTAGTTCTGCTGTTCAGACATTGCCATTAAAGGGGAAGGGAGTGTGGCATATTCATTTGGAAGCAATCTATGATAATAAATTGCAGCTGGACTGGATGAGGGCAAACAACTTGGAATTTTATCAAGACAAGATAGAGGTACTCCTGGTCAGTCGGAAGGCAGATCAGAGAATAGGGGTCCAGCCTGTGCTGGATGGGGTTACACTCCCCATAAAGACACAGGTCTGCAGTCTGAGGATCCTCCTGGACTTGGAACCGAATCTGGAGGCCCAGGTGTCGGCGGTGTCCCAGGGGGCCTTTGGACAAATAAAACTTGTGCACCAACCCTTTCCTTGAGAAGTCAGATCTGGCCATGGTGATACATACCATAGTTACATCCCATCTAGATTACTGTAATGCGCTCTACGTAGGGCCGCCTCTGAAGAGTGCTTGGAATCTTCAGCTAGTCCAAAGAGCTGCTGCCAAGTTGCTAACTGGAGCTGACTACAGAGAGCGGTCTACCGCCTCCCCCCCCCCCCTGGTTACAGCACCTCCACTGACTGCCAGTCTGTTTTCGGGAACAATTTAAAATCCTGGTTATGACATTTAAAGCCTTAGATGGTTCAGGTCCAGGCTATTTGGCTGACCGCATCCCTTTGTACAAACCTGCCCGGGCCCTGAGATTTTCAGGAGAGATTCTTCCTTCGGTCCCACCTCCATCTCAAGCTCGGTTGGTGAGAACTAGGATGAATGTTTAAATTTTATATATGTCTTATGTTTAATGGCTTTAATTGACTTTAATTTCATAGTTATATGTAGTAATTAGTTATTATGATTTCTTTGTGTACTGTATGTTGGCACTGAATTTTTGCCATGTTGTAAACTGCCTCGAGTCCACCCAGGGGTGAGAAAGACTGTATATAAAATAAATAAATAAATAAAAAAATACAGAGAGAGTGGGCCTTCTCTCTTGGGGGCTGCCTCGTGACCATGGAACTCCCTTCATCCCAGGGAAGCCAGAATGGGCCCTTTCCTGCTGTTCTTCCTGCAACAGGCTAAAACCTTATTCAGATAGACAGACCTTTAAAGAATAAGGTTTTTAAGATCAAGTCAGGGAGTTATGTGGGGGTGTTTTAGCTTTCAATATGTTTTAATGGATTTTAACTGTGATTTTTTTTTAATACCATTATGCTTATATTTTAAATTGTGTGGTAATACTTTTAATGTAAGTCGTTTTGAGCCTCCTTCAGGAGACATAAAGCGGGGTATAAATAAACATCATAATAATAATAATAGCTATAATTTTAAATAAACTGTATCCACAGCTCACAGTATTATATCTATTCAGCCTACTCAGGAAAAAAAAAGCCTACTCAGAAAAGTGAATTCATAATAAAGGTTCATGTTACTAAGAAAATTAGGGAAACAATAAAATACTGATTGAACAATATCAGGCATGGGCAAACCTAGTCCTGTGGGCCGGAAGCATCCCTTTCGTTTCTTTGTCCCGGCTCTCGTCTGCTTTGGCCTCCCCTTGAGTATGTGGATGCAGTGGAGGGCCGAGACAGAGACGCACCTCTGCCAAGCGCTCTCTGGAGAGCACTCGGCAGCAACATGCTGGTCTCCCTGCTCTGAGCCTGAGGAAAGTGGGTCTCTGTCTTCTTGGGACCCAGAGAACAGCTGGGGAGAAAAACATGCTGCTGGTAAGCGTGCTTGACAGCAGTGTTTCTCTCTCCCTGCTCTGGGCCCGAGGAAGGTGGGCCGCTGCATTCCTGGGACCCAGAGAAAACCCATGGAGACAAACACATCACCACACTGCCTTCCCGGGGCCCAGAAGAGCCGGGGAGAGAAACATGCCATTGCCAAGTAGCAGTGGCATGTTTGTCTCCCTAGAGACAGACCCACCCCTTGCCTCTTCTGGCCCCAGCCCCTCCAAGGCCCCATCCCTGCCCTTCTACCCGGCTTCACCTCTTCCAGCAATGACGCTGCCCTTTCTGGCCCCACCCACACTTCCACCTGGCCTAGGCCTTGCAGTCGGGCCCATAAGGCGGACCCAGGGCAAACAAAGTTTGCCAAGCCTGGACTATATGATCACAAGAGCATTTAAAATTACTTTGTTTGGGGTAGTGTTGTAGAAATTAAATAAATCAAGGGACTGTATTACAGAGAAAGTGATGTGTTGAAGTTGAAATCAAATACTTCTGAATCTTTAACAGAAGTGAATATTTCCTTTGTAACTGCTACTGAATTCAAATAATGTTGTGTGCTCACTTAAATGTGGTATGAGATTGAACTTTTCCTTGTCAAGAAAGGGTGTGTGGCATACTCCAGAGCGAGTGCATGTGACTTTGTCACATTGTACTTTTCATGCATAATAAAATTTCCAAAATGACTTTTAAGGAGAAAAGAATAGGCATAATTTGTAACTTAATCTACACTTACATTTCAGGGTCATAACCGAATCATAGCCTATAGCAGGCCTGTTTACTTCTGCATATGCTGCAGTCTCATTTGGCTGTTGGATTATGGCAGCAAGAGCACTTTTACTGCAAGGTTCCAACTTTATGGAATGGCTTTCACTAATCCAATTATATTGCTTTCAGCAAGGGACTTGATTATAGGTGAGTAGATTTCTCATATGATCTTAATTTGACTGGTAGAAATTATTTTTTTATTTGTTTATATCCTGTTTGTCTCTCAGGGCGGGACTCTAAGTGGTGTACAACATAACAAAGACATGATATAGCATAAAATACAGTCATAAACCCCAATATATGTGAAGTTAACAATTTGTCACATTAAAAAAGTCTCCATCCCCGGCCCAACATAAGTTACTGCCCTTTTCGCCCCAGTGAGGACCATTCATAGGATTTTATTTGTTAAAAAAAACAGAATATTTGGAATTACCATTTCTTGTTTGGCCTCTAAATATTAGAATAGTTGCCAAACTTTAAGTAAAGCATTATAAGTTAAATTGTATTCTTTTCTTTAAAAAAAGTAATTATTGATAACATTGTTGTTTTTTTAAAAAAATATTCCTCCTAAAACATTAGAATTGACATATTGCGGTTAGCCATTTTTCACCTGCAAGTGTCTTTAAAAAACACTAAATAGCACTTTTAAAATAGTTTTAGTCATATATTGCCATTATTGAAACAGTAATGTTCAATTACTCTTTTCTCTCACTAGAGGATTTTAGTTACTTGGTTATTGCTCTTTTGACGATTTTGTCTGTAGACCCTAGATGCTGAAACAGTACTGTACTTTCTCTCAAGTGACTCTTTTTGATGGGCATGATTCAGTTCTCATCTCATGATATCTCCAAGAATGCTTAGCATAATTGTTTCTTCAGATGCCGTCATCTCACAGCTCTTGCGTAGCTTCTCCTCCCAGATGAATTTCTTGTAACCTTCTTAGTCTGCTTCCTTATAAGCCCTTAGAGGCACATACATGTTCCTTCCTGTTGGGCATATGTGGCTAAATTAAAGGTGAAAGGAGAACAATAAGAGGTCCAGCAGCTTCTCTGAAGCTCAGTAGAGATTTATTTTTTATAGAGCGGGAGATGGTGTTTTATTATTTACTTACTATTTTTCTATCATTTTTGTCCTCTGTAGTGTTTACACTATGTTTTCCTATAGTCTTCTTCATTGGTCTTCTGCCACAAGTGAACACATTTTTGATGTACCTCTGTGAACAGTTAGATATTCATGTCTTTGGTGGAAATGGTGAGTTAATTTTTTTATTTCATGGGTATTTATTAGTAAAAAGCTTTCAGAACTATTTGGGAAAAGAGGTTTTAAGGTGTAAGTCAACAATTCCAATTAGACTTTACTAAATAGATGTATACCTGAAAAAAGTGAAGGGATAAAATAAATGCTTGTTTCTTGCAACATAAATATTCTACTGCTGTCTTTTGTGACAAAATTTTATTATTTTATCATTCCCTAGCTACCACAAGCCTGCTTGCAGCCCTTTACAGTTTTATCTGTAGTATTGTGGCAGTAGCATTATTGTATGGATTGTGTTATGGTGCCCTAAAGGTAAGTAATAGTTTACTGTTATTTTTTGTCACTTCATAAACCCCATAAATGCTATTGTTATCTTAACTTCCTAATGCAGAAAGTGGATGGAGATACATATTTCTTCCTTGCAGTAATATTAGAGTGCAGAATTTTCCAGTGAAATAAATTGGCAGACAGAATTAAGTATATCTTCACGTAAAGCCATCAATGTATACACTGTCATATAATGTGATAGTGGCCATTCACATAGATAGTATATTATTCTGCCAGTGGCTGATACTTAGGATGGCTTTGTGGAGCTTCATGTTTCAGAGGAAGAATGTTGATGAATGTAAGTAGTTGAAGAGTAACAGTTGGGACAGTCTATTGCTCTGGTTGTCAGCTTCCTGAAAGCATGTGACTGACCACCACGGAAGGAAGGTTGAGGGTTTGCATGGATCTTTATTTGATCCAACAAAGTTGTTTTTATGATGCATATGTGTACCTGATGTGTGTTGTTTTTAATGTCTGTGTTCATTTTAGAAAATTATTTGTTCCACTAGAATTGTATGTTCTGACCTAATTCTGATTTTGCTTATGGTTTTGGAGTGAAATGTCTTTCTTCTTGGCAGAGATCTATTGTAACTGAAGAATTTGATAACTTCAAATTCTTCACTATATTTTCCAGAATCATTTAAAATGATTCCATATCATACTTGAACCTTCTTTTTGATTAGATTAAATTAAATAACACTAAAATGTAATAGTTTCCTCTGTTTCCATGTGCTTTAGTGGAAATGTGCAGACTTTTAGTTCCAAAAAAGATTGTGGCTCAAAATAGAAAAGTGCACCTCCAGAGTCTTCCTGGGGCAGAATTGTCCGCCCACAGTAAATATTACTTCTTCCCATATTCAGTATTTTTTTAGGTTCTTGATAGCATTTTTATAAATCTAAAAGTGATTCTCTAGTCCAGTGGTTTTCAACCTGTGGGTCCCCAGATGTTTTGGCCTTCAACTCCCAGAAATCCTAACAGCTGGTAAACTAGCTGGGATTTCTGGGAGTTGTAGGCCAAAACACCTGGGGACCCACAGGTTGAGAACCACTGTTCTAGTCACTTTTGTTTCCATAAGCATTGGTGAGTGGTACCCTCAGTGTCCTAAATGGTGGTGGAAATTGGAATATGTATCCCAAGGCAGTCCTCAGGTGCCAGCCTTGCTTTAAAGACAACATATTTTTCTAAATGACTTATATCATGGTCAGTCTTCTCCATTTCATATCAGTACAACTGCCAGGAATTGTCTTTCAGAATACACATTTGGAAACATTACATTCATCACTTGTATTATTTTAAATAACTGTTTTAATTGATATGTTTTAATGATGCAGTTTTAATGTATATGTTGTTTTATGTTGATATGTGTAATATGGTTAAGGTTCTTAATTTATGGTATATCTTACTGCCTAGAAATTATGTTTTGGTTTGCACATGTATGTATGGTGTTGAATTTTGCCATTATTATGTTGGAAACTGCTTTGAGTCCCCTCAGAGGTGAGAAAAGTGGGATATAAATGCACTAAATACATGAATAAATATCAGTATCGTGGAGCCTGTTCACCAGGCTCCCAAACCTACCCTATGGGTTCCTGTTCCAGCTTCCTTTTGTAACATGGTCCACTATGAAGAGAGAGCTGGGTGTATTATCACTTATGGCCTGAGAAACAAGTAATGCTACTAGCTGATTGTTGACAGATTTTAAAGGAACTGTAATAGTCCTGTCATAAGTTCAAGAGATGGTAAATGCATATGTTCAATATGGAATAACTAAAATATCATACAATTGTTTGTTCTGCATCATTGGGTTTTATCTCACTAAATAGTTACACCTTTAAATGTTAGAGATAAGAAGAGATACAACCGAAAGATATCACTTGTCAGCCGTATTATTTGCAATGTCAATGGAATAATTTCCATCACCCGTTCAATGTAATGCAAAATCTGTGGCATAACTATGACACCAACTATATGATAAACCATGATACTCATGATAATTTATCTAATCAAAATGGAATAAATTATTCAAGAATTGAAAGAACTTATGACACAATTTGTAGATTATAAAAATAGTTATAAAATTAGTTTACTGAAACCAAAAATGCTAACTTTAAGTGTTAATGCGCAACCAATTTCTCCAGGTTCCTTTTAAGATAACGTCCATCTGTTCTAATACCTTAATATGATCAGTTTCTATGAAAATCTCCATCATTCTACTCGTGCAATAGCTAGTGATGGGGTGGCATCTGCACAACAGTAGCCATGGTTTTCCTGGTGGAGTCGCATCTCCCACACCCCAGTCTATGTTTTACTGTGGATATATGCCACAGCTCATTCAACCATCATTTTACTCTCCTTGTAAAATAAATATAATTATAAGTGCTTTAAGAGATCACAGGGGCCATCCAGTCCAATGCCATGCAAGAATGTACACTATTGACTAATATTCAATTTACGCTTTATTAAGACTCCTAGATCCCTTTTACACTTAACTGCTGTCAAGACAGGTGTCACCCATCTGTGCATTTCATCCTTTTTCCTACCTAAGTTCAGTACCTAATATTTCTCTCTGTTGAAACTCTTTTTTTTAAAAAAAATTGGCCCGCTCTCTAATCTGTTAAGACTATTTTGAATTCTGATCCTGTCTTCTGGGACATTAGCTATCCTTCCAAAATGGGTGTCATCAATTTGAAAAGCTTACCCTGTACTCCATCATCTAAGTTGTCCAAGTCATTATGTTTAACAGCACTGGGCCCTATGGCACCCTACTAGTTTCTTCTCTCCAGGTTGAAGAGGAGCCATTGGTGAACACCTTTTGGCTTTCGTTGGTGAACCAACTATTAATCCACCTAATATTAGCATTATTTAGCTCACAATATACTATTTTGTTTTCAAGAATGCCATGGGGGATCTTGCCCGAAGGCCTTACTGAAATCAAGATATTCTGCATCCATAACATTCCCTTCAGTTATCAAGCTTGTAATTCTATAAAAAGAGAGATAAGATTAATTTGACCTGACTTGTTTTTCAGAAAGCCGTGATGACTTTTAGTGATTACGGCAATCCCTTTGTAAGTGATTACAGAGTGTATTGGTGTCAGGCTAAGTGGATGGTAATTATTTAGGTCTTTATTTTTTTTCTTATTTTGTGTTTTAATTATGGAAAATAAAACATCAACTGATACACACTAATGCTCTTTATTTTATAAGATCACTGATTTGTTATTTAAGAAGGTCTTCGTTTTTTCTTCAGTGGGGTTAATGATAACCTGGGTGATGTCTTGTATATGTCTGTTCACAGGATTCTTGGGATGGTCAACATATTCCAGTGCTATTTTCAGTATTCTGCGGTATGTTAGTGGCAATATCATATCATCTGAGCAGACAAAGTAGTGACCCTTCTGTTCTTTTGTGAGTATTATCTATTATTAACAGTGATAGGAATTAACTAGTTAAATTGAGTTGTTATAAATTATAAATTGAGTTGTTATAAATTAAGTTAGAATTTTTGTAATGAAAAAGGACTGTTTACTTAATTTAATTTTTAACTGAGGTGAATGACATAAGATAGATATAGAGGGTTAATTTAATTTCAGAATTAATTACATTATTAATTGATTAAATGAAAGTCAGTGCTAAAAGGTTAACTTGTTTTATATTTCCCAATTTATTCCTTTCTATAAAACAACCAAAACCTAAAAGTAGAATTACTTTTTTAATTCTTAAATCCTAAATCTAAATCCTGGGATATTGCAATGATTACACCATAAAATTCAAATCACTTACTGAAACATAGTTCCAATGGGGTGAATTATATTATGGTTTTTGAGGTTAGCAGCCAAGTAACCAATCAATCCTGCCCCATTTCAAAATGGATAAAAATCCATATGATTGAAAGCAGACATTTCTTTATAAAGTCTGGCAGACTTTTAAAAACAGAAGGAAAATGAGATTAAATTATCAGAATGTGAGAACAAGAAAGCAGGGAAGATGTTTTAATGGAATAAATAGAAACAGAGTATGGAACATTTCATGTTATCCTTGCTTCAAAGTACAAAATATGGATGGTGAGTAGGAGAAGTAAAATCTTGCATCACACTCTTCAATTTCTTTCTAGTAAGGCTTTTAATGCAAGCATCTAACTTCAGTTTAAATAGTAATTTATCTTAAAGTTCTGAATTACATTTGAAAAGTTTATTAAAAATTAATTAAATACATCAGTGTTTTTCTGCTAACTTTTCTCTCTCTGCTATGCCCTTAATATACCTGTAAATAAATTGCAATACATTCAGTGGGTCCCTGGATTGTTTTGGATTATGTAGCTCTTCATTGCATTGAAATTGCATTGAGATTTCATCTTGGAAAGTGGATCTCAACATGTTCATTGCATGGAATCAGATCCTGAAGAATTTGAATATTTGTTGTCATTTAGTTGACTTTGACTTGCAGTGACTCTATAAATAAAAGAGCTCTAAGACACCCTGTTACCAAAGGACCTGTTCACAATTTATAAATTCTGGGCTATGGCTTCCTTGCTGTCTTCTGCCTTACCAAGCACGATTGTCTTTTGTAGCGAGTTATGTCTTCTCATTATCTGTCCAAAGTATGATAGTCTCAATTTAGTCATCTTAGCTGCTAAGAACAGTTCAAGTTTTATTTGTTCTTGGACCCATTTATTTGTCTAGTAGTTATGAAAGTTATTAAAGGGCACCGGGATTGTGGCGCAGCTGGCTGAGTGTCAGCTGCATTAAGATCACTCTAACCAAAAGGTCATGAGTTCGAAGCCAGCCCAGGCTGGAGTGGGTGTCCAGCCATTGTGTAGCCCGTTGTCGACCTTTGCAACCCAAAAGACAGTTGCATCTGTCAAGTAGGAAAATAAGGTACCACCTTGTGTGGGAGGCTAAATTTAACTAATTTATGAGGCCATAAAGAAAAAAGACTCCGGGGAATGTGGAATGCGGAAGAACTTCATCGGTGTCGTTGATGGACGATGAAAAGCAGCAGCTCCCCTGGCGGCAAGAAAAAAAAAGTTAAATAGCCTCGGTGTATTTGTCTGTTAAATGTTGTTTGTCAAACTGGCATTGAATGTTTGCCATATATGTGTTTACTGTAATCCGCCCTGAGTCCCCCGCGGGGTGAGAAGGGCGGAATATAAGAACTGTAAATAAATAAATAAATAAATAAATAAATAAATATTTGTTGTGTATGCTAGTTCATATAATGGATCAACTTCTGTATGTATTCCATTCAAAGGACAGTTTTCACAAAGAAAATGTTATTTCTATTCTTTATATTTTAGCTCTCTAGTGCAATCAAAACTTTTTCCTTCATCAGAAGATAAAAATCCAGAGGATCCTTTATCTGAAGTTAAAGATCCATTACCTGAAAAACTTAGAAATTCAGTGGTAAGCCAGTTTTGTTTTCAGATTGGTAAACATGCTGACCAGTTTTCCAAATGATAACTATTAGAGAGTTAAATTTTCGGAGTGGGTATGATTAGCATTTTTAAGATGAAACTTTCAGAGGAATCACAGCCTGCATTGCATAGTACAGATATTGCGTGGCTGAAATTTTTATGGCCATGAAAGTAAAAATAGAAAGAGAGGAAGACGATTCTGATAATTTTGTAGCTGTTCATTTATTCCCAGATTGTCTTCTAGTATGTTCATTTACAGAACAGGATGATTAAAACTTACCTGGTAGATGAAGACTATAAAATTACTTAAAAGGGATAGTGGGATGATATTTGATATGCAAGTGTGCTTTTAATGCCTTTCTTTTTTCTTCCTAGAGTGAACGTTTACAATCTGATCTTGTTATATGCATAGTCATCGGAGTGCTTTACTTTGCAATTCATGTTAGCACAGTATTCACAGTTTTGCAGGTAACTTGTTCAGTTTGTCTATCAATGTTTTAAGAATTTAAGAATTGGAGGAATTACTATAATTTCACAATGCAGAATATTAACCCGCTTAAGCTCTCCATTTTTTTCCCATTGTAACTGCTGTAGTGTTCTCTCACTTAATCTTCCATTAACTGATTTCAGAAAGTTTAAGGGAACATTAGCTACCTAGGAGAGCTAAAATAATACTTATATCTCCATGTTCCTACTTGTTGTGCCTCCAGGAGTTTCTTATAGCTTCTGCCATAATTGGCCTAATATTTCTTCAGTTCAGACTGATACATGTAATCACATGAGCAAAGAGGAAAGTTATAATATCACCAACAAAACAGAAAAATGTCTTATTCTTTGTCCCAAAGAAAAACAAATAGGAAGGAGGATTGGAAGCAATTCCACCAGCTTTTCAAGAGCAAACCTGCTGGGCGATAGTTCTTGTAACATACCATATTAACAGTTGAAAATGAGATCCCCATTTCCACCTATAGCAAAATTCAGCAACACCAATTAGGATCACTTGTGATGAGCCCAGGAACACCTAGCTGCGGAGGGAGGATTTGTGAGAAAGGCAATTTTTAGTCAGCACTACTTCTCTGCACATGCGATTAGACATTCTAATTGTGAGGAGAATTGCTTTTTTGATATGAGAACTTGTCTTTCTCTCTCTCTTATCCATTAGCCTATCTTGAGCTATGTTCTTTATGCTCTGGTGGGATCGGTAGGTTTTATAACCCATTATGTTCTGCCTCAACTCCGGAAGCAGCTCCCTTGGCACTGTTTTTCTCATCCATTGTTGAAAACCAAGGAATACTATCAATTTGAAGTTCGCAGTAAGTATTGCAGTTTTCATTTCCTCACACTTGGTTTATGGCAGTTTGCAGTGGATTGTTACCCATTGAATATTATTGTTTTGATAATGAAGTGTACTGGGCTTCTGACAAATGTATCAACATTTGAATTGCATCCAGGCCTGTAGCCAGAGAGGGGGGGGGGGTTAAGGATTAATCCCCTCCCTCTAAATGTTTCAGGTTAAAAAAACTGGGTTACTCATGAATTGGTTAAACAATTAAAATTCATGAGTAAACCAGGTTTTTTTAAACCTGAAACATTTGGAGGTGGGGTGAAACCTTAACACCCCCCCACCCACCCCCGGTACAGATCTGATTGCACCTGTTCATTTCCTGTTGTAAAAACCTTTTCCTTGCAGGAAAAGTTTCCCCTTTATACTAGTAGAACATACCGTAGTTGAAGGGATGGGGAGGTGAGGGCAGAATCAGTTGAATTTGATTTCTTTGCTTCTTTCTTCAAACTACTGAACTGTTTGATTCCATAATGTATTCTGCTAACTCTTCATAGATGCAGCTCATTTGATGTGGTTTGAGAAACTTCATATTTGGCTTCTTTTTGTGGAGAAGAATATTATCTACCCTTTAATAGTCCTCAATGAGCTCAGCAGTAGTGCAAAGGCTATTGCTAGTCCAAAAAGACTGGATACAGAGTAAGTAGAAAAGACCATAAGTATATATAGACAAACATACATATGTACATGTGTATTTTTGTCTGTAAAACAGTACCATTTGGTTGCCTTTTTCATTCACACACACACACACAAATATATTAAATTGGTGTATATAACATGTTCTTGCTGTTGCTTGTCCAGTCTGTTAGCACTTCAGTCTTTCTCCCAATATTGTATAGCTCCTCCTAATCCTATTCATGTTTGCTTGTTGGCTTTTTATAATCATTTGATTAGTTACTGTAGTGATCAGAATACTGAACTATGTAAGGCTTTGGTCTAATCCAGCCTGGTGGTGGTGGTGGTGGTATTGATTATTGTTCTAGTGACCTTTGGTCAGTGACAGTCTTCTAGCTGAACCTGATGTATAGGGTTACTTTAGGTTAGACTGAAAAATGATAGTCATATGTCCTAACTTGAGATAGGGAAAAGGATTTGAAAAGGATTTGAACAAGAAGACATAGTTTTATAATTTTATTATTCATTGCTTTTATGGTTTTTAAATGTATTGTGATGTTTTTGCTTTTTATTGATGTATGTATTTTTATATATGGCATCTAATTGTTGCTGACTTGTATGCCGCCCTGAGTCGCCTTCGGGCTGATATGGGCAGGATACAAATATCGTAAATAAATAAATAAAAGTGAAAAATAAATGGTGCCTGTGACAATGAAACCTTTGCCATTGGCTGAGATTGTATGATAGCATAGAGTAAAGTTTTTTAGTGTAATTATGTTTTATTGCCTGAGATTGTATGATAGCATAAAGGTTTTTAGTGTTGTTATGTTTTATTAGTGTAATTATGTTCTATTTAAGTACTTACATTTTTCTTTTTTCTTTTATTTCAATTTTAATTTTTTCTTTGGTTATTGGCTTACTGATGTTATTTTGTATTGTTTTGATGTGTATGAATGTGATTATGGCATTGAATATTTGCCTTTTTATGTAAACCGCCCTGAGTCCCCTTGGGGAGAGAGAGTGGTCTATAAATAAAGTATTTATTTATTATTTATCAGAGTATTCAAAGAACAAAGTGTCCAAGAAGCAAAGCTGTTAGAAAATTTGCAGTATGGCTTCCTTGAGGGAAGGAAACAATTTCAGTATAGCAAAGTTCAAAATCTTTTGAATTGTGCATAAAATTGGAAACAGATTCCAATGGGGGAAAGAGAATGTAAAGAGGAGGAACCCTAAACTGGGTGAGGCATGTAGAATAATCAATAAACCAAATGAAAATGAAAGGATTGGGTGAATGAGGAGGAAGCATGCAAAGAAGAGAAACGAGGAAAGCAAAGGCTAATGAGATTGAAAATACAGCGTTAAATTTCGTATATTGATGTGGCCTAGTTCTTTGGCTGAAGCTTTCTAACATTTTATTTATTATTATTATTATTAACTTTATTTGTATCCCGCTAGCATCTCCCGAAGGACTCGATGCGGCTTACACAGGCCGAAGCCTCAAAACACAATACAATAGAAAACATAACACAACAATAAACAAAGCAAATCAACAATTAAGCAAAATAACAACAATGACAATACATCAATACATCAAGACACTATTAAAACTGGTTCGGCCGGCGCAATGGGGTACAGGGTAAAAATGCTGAGATGGCAGGAAGAACGTAGGATTAAAAGTGCGGTGTGCAGCAACATTGGTTGTGCTAAAGTGCTTCTAGGACTTGGGATGGGGGATTCCTAATCTGCGAAGGCACATCGGAACAGCCAAGTTTTTAGGTTCCTTCTGAAAACTGCTAGAGTAGGGGCCTGACGAAGCTCTTTTGGAAGGGCATTCCAAAGTCGGGGGGCCGCCACAGAGAAAGCCCTGTCCCGTGTCCCCACCAAGCGCGCTTGCGACGTAGGTGGGATCACGAGCAGGGCCTCCCCAGATGACCGGAGCGAGCGTGTGGGTTCGTAGATGGAGATGCGGTCACGCAGGTAGGGTGGTCCCAAACCGTTCAGGGCTTTGTAGGTGAGCACCTGCACCTTGAATTGGGCTCGGAAAATAAATGGCAGCCAGTGGAGCTCCTTAAACAGAGGGGTAGACCTCTCTTGATAATGAGCTCCAGTTAGCATCCTAGCTGCTGCCTGCTGGACCAATTGAAGTTTCCGAGCCGTCTTCAAGGGCAGCCCCACGTAGAGCGCATTGCAGTAATCCATTCTAGAGATGACCAAGGCGTGGACCACCCCGGCCAGATCAGCCTTCACGAGGTACGGTCGCAGTTGGCGCACAAGTCTCAATTGTGCAAAGGCCCTCCCAGATACTGCCGACACCTGAGCCTCAAGTGTGAGCGAAGAATCCAAGAGGACACCCAAACTGCGGACCTGTGGCTTCAGGGGGAGTGTAACCCCGTCCAACACAGGTAGCCACCCTATACCCCGATCCGGTTTACGATCGACCAGGAGGACCTCTGTCTTGTCGGGATTGATCTTCAGCTTGCTCTTCCTCATCCAGATCGACACAGCGGCCAGGCACTCGTCCAGCACCCGAGAAGCCTCCTTGGAATTAGGTGGAAAGGAGTAGTAGAGTTGTGTGTCATCCGCATAAAGATGGCACCCAACTCCAAAACTCCGGATGACCTCTCCCAGCGGTTTCATGTAGATGTTAAAAAGCATGGGGACAGAATAGAGCCTTGCGGGACCCCACAGGTCAAAGGCCAGGGGTCCGAGCAGGCGTCTCCCAGCTTCACCCTCTGGGTTCGTCCCTCCAGGAAGGACCGGAGCCACGACAAAACGCGCCCCCGAGGCCCATCCCAGAGAGACGACCCAGAAGGATACCATGATCGATGGTATCGAAAGCCGCTGAGATGTCCAAGAGAACCAGCAGGGTCACACTCCCCCTGTCCAGCTCTCTGCGGAGGTCATCCACCAAGGCGACCAAGGCTGTCTCGGTGCCATGACCAGGCCTGAAACCAGACTGTGACTGATCTAGGTAGTTGGTATCGTCTAGGAAGCTCTGGAGCTGCGAGGCGACCACCCGCTCCAGCACCTTACCCAAGAAAGGGAGGTTGGAGACTGGCCTGTAGTTACTCAGCACCGTGGAGTCAAGGGAAGCTTTTTTGAGGAGTGGACGAACCACAGCCTGTTTCAAATTAGATGGAAAAATCCCTTGCTCCAACGATGCATTGACAATCAACACAAACAAATCAACCAACCCCTCCCTGGCTGATTTAATGAGCCAAGATGGGCATGGGTCTAGAGGTGAGGTGGTCGCCCTCACAGCCCCAAGAACCTCCTCTACGGTTTCAGGAAGAACAAGCCTAAAAGAATCCCACAAAATTGAACAAGCAGATGCCTCCGTCACCTCTTCAGGCACTGCGATGGAATTGGAGTCGAGCTCAAGGCGTATCTGAGCGACTTTACCTGCAAAATGGTGTGCGAAATCGCGACACCGAGCTGCTGGGTCATCAGTGACCTCCTCCACCACAGGTGGGTGGAGGAGTTCCCCCACGACCCGAAACAGCTCCGATGATCTATTTGCTGCAGACGCTATACGGGTGGTCGTGAATGATTTCCTGGCCACCCGTATAGCCACGGAGTATGCCTTAAGAGAGGCTTTAGCCCGTGCTCGATCAGAGACGTCCCGAGATTTCCTCCATTTGCGCTCTAGCCCCCTTCTCGTATGCTTCATCACAGCCAGCTCCCCGGTGAACCAGGGAGATGGCCTGTCACGACGCAACGGGATGGGGCGTTCGGGTGCGATCGTATCTATCGCCCTGGACATCTCCCCATTATAGAGAGCTACCAAGGCGTCGATAGAATCGCCAGGCTCCAAGGCAGGAAGAACCCCAAGATTCCTCAGGAATCCGTCCGGATCCATCAGTCTCCTAGGGCGGACCATTTTAATCTGTCCTCCACCCCTGCGGAGGTTAAGGGTCGCAGCAAGTCTAAAAGTGATCAGATAATGATCAGACCATGACACCGGAAGAATGTTTTGATCTTCCACTCTAATCAATTCGTTGTCCGCCACGAAAACAAGGTCAAGAGTATGTCCAGCTTGATGAGTGGGACCAGATATTATCTGTGACAGTCCTATGGTCGTCATGGTGGCCATAAAGTCCTGAGCTGCGCCAGATAGGGTGGTCTCAGCGTGGATGTTAAAATCTCCCAGCACCACCAGGCGCTGGGAAACCAAGGCCGAATTAGAGACCACCTCCGCTAGCTCAGACAGGGAAGCTGCTGGGTCGCGGGGTGGGCGGTACACCAGCAGGAACCCCACACTGTCACGGCTCCCCACTTTCAAGTGGACACACTCGAACCCAGAAGCCTGCGGAACAGCGCATCTGATCACGGCGATGGATTGCCGAAAGACTACTGCGACCCCTCCTCCCCGCCCCCCTTGTCTGGCCTGCTGATGCACTCCGAAACCTGGTGGACATAACTGAGTGAGATTTACTCCCCCCAGCTCGTCCAACCAGGTCTCGGTGATGCATGCCAGATCCGCCCTCTCATCCAGGATCAAGTCCTGGATGGCCGCGGTCTTACCATTAACGGATCTGGCATTAATCAGCAGGACTTTAAGACCAAGGGGGCTGCCATGGAGCCTACCACTACCCACCTTTCCCAGGGTCGCAAGAACTCTGTTGCGCTTCTCCCTGGGGTGTTGGTGACCCACAAATCTCCTCCCCCACACGACTTGGATGGCACCCCCTTCCTCCGGAACCTTCCCCCCCCCCCTACATGGCCGGGATCTGAGACTAGTCAGCTCTCAGAGGAGGAAGTCGGGCTGGGAAATAATCTCCCTTGGGCGTTAGGTAGGGGAGTTTCTGATGTTGAGGTAGATAGGGAGACATCAAGGGTGCTGAGTGGGCTGAATAAGGGAAGTGTTCTCGAGCGGAGAAGTGTGGCTGGCTGAGTGGGGGCGACCGGGGCAGATGGGGTCTCAAAGTTGTACGAACCAGGAGGGGGGGCCCTAACTGGGGAGCTAGTTGTGGAGTTCGCGCGGGGGCCAGGTGGAACTTGGCGAAAAGGAACCCCGGAATCAAACAAGGGGCGTATATGAGGGTCCACAACTACCCTTCTGATGATGATGCCCCATTTCTTTAGGCCAGATCGTTTTGCCATTAGCTCACCAAGCCAAGAGCTGTCTTCTGGTGTGATTTGAAGACGGGTGGAGCGGTCAGAAGATTGATAATCCCTCCACAACCACACTATGGCTTTTAATCTTATTTCCTGTGATCTTTTACCTAGGATTTGGGCCAAGGAGTTACAAACTGCCCTCTTGGAGGTCCATCTGCCTCTGTTTACCATTAGGTCAGCAATGTCCACCGCAAAATTGTCTGTTGGGAGATGTTGGTCCTGAGTGCAAAGTGCGGTGGGCTGAACCATAAGGCCTGATGTTGTATTATTGGTCGTCCTCTGAGTGGCCATCACAGTCTGCTGCCACTCCAAGATGTTCCTATATGAGCCCAGGGATTCTCCCTTTCCCTCAGACGGCTCATCATTGATCCCTCCCTCCCTCCCTCCTTCCACCCCATGATCCCCGTGATCTAAAGTGCCTTTCTCCCCATTTAGGTACAAGTCCTCAGTCAGGTCTGCACACAGAAGGTTATCAGTCTTTGGGGGAGTGGATTGCACGGGAATTCCTGAGAAAGAGGCAAAACCTCTAAGGAGATGGTCCATTTTCTCGTTCAAAAACCTGAGTTGGAGCAGCACATGGTTGAACGAGTCCCTCAGGAGGTCGTAAAAGTGCAAAATATCATTCTTCGCATAAGACTCCGCTGCAGCCATTCCTATGTCAAGTTAGTTCTCTCTCTCACCACTAGTACCCAACCATTCTTATCAGTACTCACTCACATCCAACTTACGACACAATCAGTCACTCCTCCAGGCATTCCACAAATCCCATACTCTCCTCATTCTCCCACATTTCTCTCAGCCAACTAAAACCAAACTTACACACTCTCTCACTCATCTATATACACACAACTACCATCCACACCTTCCTATGTAATCGCTTCTATCACGGGCAGTCTCATGCGCTCTCCTGGGCCTCTTCACTCACACCATCCCAGGCAATCCTATCCTCTCCTATCAGTGCTCCTATTGCTCCCCGCACCTCCTAACACAATCAGCAGTTAAAACATATAACATACAGCTCACTATGTCTATAACTAAATAACTGAAACAACAACTAGCCAAAGGAGAAAGTAGGAAAAAAATAAAACAATAAGAAAAAGAGTCAGATGGCGACAGCAAATTCCTGCTTTCAGGCAAGACCTGATGAATTCTTCAGCTCCTTTCCAGTGCCGGTGGATGGATGGCCTCCCGATGGCGTGGGGGGGCAGAAATGGCGCGGCCTGGCGCTCAGCCGGCCCTTTCCCGGTGCGGCGAAAGGGCCGGTGGATGGATGGGGCGGCGATCAGCTGGCTCCCGCTCTCTTCACCCCTCCCGATGGCGTGGGGGGGCAGAAATGGCGTGGCCTGGCGCTCAGCCGGCCCTTTCCCGGTGTGGCGAAAGGGCCGGTGGATGGATGGGGCGGCGATCCGCTGGCTCCCGCTCTCTTCACCCCTCCCGATGGCGTGGGGGGGGCAGAAATGGCGCGGCCTGGCGCTCAGCCGGCCCTTTCCCGGTGCGGCGAAAGGGCCGGTGGATGGATGGGGCGGCGATCAGCTGGCTCCCGCTCTCTTCACCCCTCCCGATGGCGTGGGGGGGGCAGAAATGGCGCGGCCTGGCGCTCAGCCGGCCCTTTCCCGGTGTGGCGAAAGGGCCGGTGGATGGATGGGGCGGCGATCCGCTGGCTCCCGCTCTCTTCACCCCTCCCGATGGCGTGGGGGGGGCAGAAATGGCGCGGCCTGGCGCTCAGCCGGCCCTTTCCCGGTGCGGCGAAAGGGCCGGTGGATGGATGGGGCGGCGATCCGCTGGCTCCCGCTCTCTTCACCCCTCCCGATGGCGTGGGGGGGGCAGAAATGGCGCGGCCTGGTGCTCAGCCGGCCCTTTCCCGGTGCGGCGAAAAGGCCGGAGGATGGATGAGGCCGTGATCAGCTGGCTCCCGCTCTCTTCACCCTCCCGATTGGCTTCCAAGCGGCGAGAGAGCCCGTGGCGGCTGAGCGGGCCTTCACTCACCTCCTCCGGTATGATGCGCCGCAGTGAGGCCTAACAGCCTCGAGGCCTGGATGGAGTGGAGGCCCGCGGCGGGTGAGTGGGTCCCTCACTCCCACCTCCCCCGGGACGGCGGGAGGTGAGGGGGCGCGGCGGTGGGATAGCCGCGGCTCCAAGCCAGCCGGGAGCAGGCCGCGATGGATGGCGGCAGAGAAGGAGGCGATCGCGAGGGAATGGCGGCGTTGCACAGCCAGCCGCGATTGAATGGCGGCGGCGCGCAGCTATTCCGGCCTTCAAAGGTCCTCTTCCCTCTCGTCGACTCCCGGGTGTCACCCGGGGGAGCCTTCCCCAAAATCAGCTGGAGAGGGGCGGCCGCGAGGGGGGGAGTCGGGGGCAATTAAGTCTCGCCCCTGGAGCTGGCAATGCTGTGTGTGTTCACAGCGCCATCTTGGAAAAAAAAAATTAATTGGAATAGTGAATGTAGAATAAAGCAAAGTGAAAAATATAGTAACCAATTTAGTTATTAATATTTTTAAGAATGAGCAGAATACAAAGAGGTAATGGCTAGGAGAAAGATCCATCTTATTGAACCAACAAATGTTTACAATGCTTGAAATATCTTTTTTCATTGCAGACTTGGTGCTTTAATGATTACTATAGCTGGCATGAAGCTGTTGCGTTCCTCTTTCAGCAATCCAACCTACCAGTATGTTACTGTCATTTTCACAGTGCTTTTCTTTACATTTGACTACAAACGTTTCTCGGAGACTATGCTGCTAGACATGTTCTTCATGTCCATACTCTTTAGCAAGGTAATGTCAGATTTTTAAAAAATGCTGAAACTCTGTATTTGATAGCATTAAAATATTATGACTGTGACTCTAGTATTCCTGGGTCAGAGTAAATATTTTGAATGATATGGTAATCTTTCCCGCAGTCTTAGGTGTTTCAAAAAGATCCTCACTTTTGTTGTTCAGATGTGTAGCAAGAGGCCACAGGGAAGACGATGCCAAAATGATCAGGCAGGAAGGCAAGCTTAATGATTCAGCACCTTCATCTTTTTATATCTCATGGCTGGGATTGCCCTCATAGGCTTCATCCATTCTCACAAAATAGGCAGCCTTAAGGGATAGGCCTTTGCCTTAAAGGTTAACACTGCTACATCTTTCCAAGATTTTGTGCCAAATTGGCATTGCTGAACCAGGTCTAGGAAACATGGAGCACTCAGGATATGCTGTTCCATTTCAGGTTTGGAAAAATTACATTTTGGCCTGTATGTCTAAGAATCTGCTCGTGGTAGAATCAGATATCAGTTATAGCCTGCATAACTGAATCAGGTGCTCTTCAATGTATATAAAATTAAGCTTCATATTTTTGGATTTTTGCAGCTCATTTATTTCTGTGAGACTGCAGTCATTCAAAGAATATTTTAGTGCATGTAAAATTGATGAATTTCCTACATTAAACTTGCCACTGACCTCATTGATTACAGTTTCTGATCTCAACCATGAGCTCAATCCAGTGGTGTGCCAGCAACCCCAATGGAACTTGCTTTCCTTCCCCTTGTTGCTACAGTTTTCCAACCTTCCAGAGCCAATTTGGAGGTATATGATGAAGGGATTTCAATTCACAGACATGTATGCTATATATGTTCCCTAGTCTTTATGATACCAGAAGAGTCCCTGTTTTTATTTGGAAGCCGAAATCATGTGTGTGTCTCAATAGTACAAGATCTGCTATTGATTCTGTGTTGCCACTGATGATGTTGTTGTTGTTGTTCATTCATTCAGTCGTCTCCGACTCTTCGTGACCTCATGGACCAGCCCACGCCAGAGCTCCCTGTTGGCCGTCACCACCCCCAGCTCCTTCAAGGTCAGTCCAGTCACTTCAAGGGTGATGACATATGTATAATTTCCTATGTTTTCCTTCCAGCTTTGGGAGCTTTTTTACAAGTTGAGATTTGTGTATACTTATATTGCCCCATGGCAAATTACATGGGGATCTGCTTTCCATGCATTTGCCCAGCCTTTTGCAGTGCCGCGTATCCTTTTTGAAGCTCAGGTATATGAAGCCTAGCTGTATTTAATCACAGGGGGAAAATATTCCAGAATCATAATCCCAGTAGATTGAAGCATATTCGGTGAATAGAAAATAAATATTATATTTTATGCTTAGTATTACAACACAAACTGATGGGGCATTAATCTTTGAGATGAAGTTTGTGTTTGCTTGGAAAAGAATATATTAGGAAAGAAGACAAATTACTTTCTCTATTCAGTTTCTACTGTAGAGCATTGTTTGATATCAGCAGGAATGCGGAGTAATTATACATAATGTGTTTACCCTGTAATATATATCATGCCTGTTGCAAATTGTTATTGTTGTTTATTATCCAGTCAGCTGTGACTTACAGTGGCCCTACTAATGAGAAAATTCGATGAGCCTGAGTCATCAATACCTATCCTCAGGTTTTACAAACTTGGGGCCACGGTTCCTTTTATTAAATTAATTCATCTGTAATGTGGTCTTCCTCTTTAGCTGCTCTGTTCCACTTTGCCAAGTATTATTGTCTTTTCTAGTGAGTAATGTCATCTGATAATATGTCCAAAGCATGATAGCTTCCGTTCAGTTATTTTGGTTTCAAGTGGGAGTCCTGTGTTTACTTGCTCTTGGACCCATTTGTCTTTTTGGCAAATCATGAAGTCTGTAGAACTCTTCTCCAAAGCACCACATTTCAAATGAATTGATCCTCTTCTACTTCCTTTACTATCCAGTTTATATGACATAAGTCATGATAGCTATGTAATGCGTATATTATTGAGAGGGGTACTCAGTGTTGGCTTCTATTGGGACTTCAGGTTTCATTTGCTCCAGGGTGCATTCATTTATTTTTTTAGTCACTCTGTGGTATTGGAAGTCTCTTCCACCATGACATTTTCAATGAATTTATTATCTTCCTATCATCTTTCTTCACAGTCCATTATAACCGCTATACATTCATGTGCTTCAAAGAATAGCTTCAAATTCAGACTGTGGTTCTATGGGGTCTTGGTAAATAGTATAATAGAATTCTAACTTTCTACAGTTGTATTATTGTGCTATTGTGGTATTTTTTTTATGTCATTCTGCCATGATCACCAGATACAGTTCCTTAATTCTATTGCTGTACAGATTCTGCAATGCTTTTTGTTCAAGCAGTTGTGTCTGCATTTTTCTCTACCCCACTAAATCCTTTTCTGGGAAGTGCAATATTCATCACATCTTATGTCAGACCTGTCAAGTTCTGGGAGAGAGACTACAAGTAGGTGACTTTGGAAACATAAAGGAAGATCCCTGTGTAGCAATAAGTGTGTTTTTAATGTTTTACATTGTACAGTTTCTGAATACAATTACTGGCATGATTCCTCCAAAGCTTTTAAAGCAGGCTTTTTGTATTTATATTGCCTTGATGCTCTTCGCTGCCAATACTGACATATTCAGAACAAAACAGTGTGTGGTATAGCAAATAATAAGGCAGATTCTTGTTTGACAATTAACATTTTTGAAATAATTCAGTTTCTGTATATATCTGCCCCTATGCCCCAATATTCCATGAAGCACATACATGTCACACAGAATGGGATACAAATTGGCAACTGAAGCAATGAAGGACTAACTACTCTTTAGCCATCATTTCAAGGCCGTTTGACAAGTAACTCTTCATGTTCTGCCATTTCCTTTAGCACAAAGCGAGTGGACCACTCAAACACAAGACTGGCTTCCCAGCTTGATAGGAATCCAGGTAATTGTTGGTGACAGCAGAGACAATATTCTGTTGGGTAGTTTTTTATAATCACACATAGTTTAATTCATATTCCTTTCTGTAAAACTAGCAGTTTTGCTTACAAATTAACCTCATGCATGGTAATTAAATCTTGTAAAAAGCAATCCCTCCTGCATTTCGTTTTCATAAATAGATTAATAGATCTACTTATTTATATCTGTTTGAGTATTTATTTATTAGTAATACTGATGTCTACTAGGGTTTAGCCTTTGGAAAGTCTGTTAATTTGTAATAGTAGGATTAATATTAATTGGGGCCTCCCTCTTATTTTGTTGGAGGCAGAAACCAACTTAGCAATAAGCCTGATTGTCAGTCCTAGCCTTTATCTTATGTTTAGGATGAATTTTTCAAATTGTAGGTTTGAACTGATCTTCTTGGTTTGGTTTTAATGTCATATGCATTATTTTCATGCAGGTTCAGATGATAATAACTTGAATTCCATCTTTTATGAACATCTATCTCGGTCCCTTCAGCACAGCCTGTGTGGAGATCTGCTCCTTGGGCGATGGGGGAATTACAGCACTGGAGACTGCTTTATTCTTGCTTCTGACTACCTCAATGCACTAGTACACATTATAGAGATAGGCAACGGTTTGGTTACTTTCCAACTCAGAGGGCTTGAATTTAGAGGTATAAATCTCCCTGAACTTGCCTTATGCTTCATAAATATTATACAGTAGTTGATTAAGCTTTGCTCTTATCAAACTATATGCGTTATACATTTTAGAAAAATGCTCTTTCAATTTGAATAAAAACATTGGGTGTGAACAAGCTTCTTCTTTTAAGTAAAATATAAAAGAATACATATCAACCAACTCAAAGCTTTTTAACTTTAAATCTTACATTACTGCTGTTGTTTTGGGGTGATTTGGTTTTATTTTGGTAATTTCTGGCATCCCTTCTACTAGACCAGGCATGGGCAAACTTGGGCCCTCCAGGTGTTTTGGACTTCAGCTCCCAGAATTCCTATCAGCCGGTAGGCTGATAGGAATTTTGGGAGTTGAAGTCCAAAAACCAGGAAGGCCAAAGTTTGCCTATGCCTGTGATAGAGTGTCATATTATGAATTAAAACGTTTAAGTTGTGAGCTAGAAGTCTCCAACTATACTCATCCATGAAGTCAAGGAGATACCTTAGTTATTATCCATCTTGTGTATATATAGGACATGATAATTACTTGTCTGCCACACAGACTCTTACAGTTGTTGATGTGATTTACAAGCATTTACCTCTTTTTCATTCAGGAACCTATTGTCAGCAACGAGAAGTAGAAGCCATAACTGAGGGTGTAGAAGAAGACGAAGGGTTTTGTTGCTGTGAACCTGGTCATATCCCTCACATGTTATCTTTCAATGCTGCCTTTGGCCAGCGTTGGCTGGCTTGGGAAGTCCTTGTCACAAAGTATGTCTTGGAGGGCTACAGCATCACCGACAACAGTGCTGCTTCCATGCTTCAAGTATTTGACCTGAGGAAAATACTCACTACTTACTATGTCAAGGTACAGTTCTAGAGTTAATACATGTTTGGGGGGGGGGGGAGTGAAGAGTCGTCATAAAGATCTGTGGGAAAAGCTAATGATCTGCAAAATTGTCTGCTCTTCACAATTGTGATTTCTCTAAATTTCTGACATCTGTGTTATGTTTTATTCATACCTACCATTGTAAATGGTTTGAAATGGAGAGAAGTGGAATAACAACTCTGTAATTGAAATTGGCCAAACTGAATTTATAAATATAAAAAGACATTCCTTTGAAAACAGCATTCATAGTCTGAGTGCCAATGGCAACTTCCCCCAAATCAAATGTAAAGATGTTTCTAGTAGCCCTGCAATTTTTAAATGTCTTCAAAATGTCATTTGTGTCACATTTACGAAAAAATGGAGGGATAAAGACATTTTCATTCTCTTTTCCCTCCCTGTTCTATTCTGAAAATGATGGATAAACTAATTAAATGGGTTCAGCAGTTTCACAGTATGTTCTTCCTTCTTCTCCCTGTGTTTTTCAGGAGCATACAAAATCACTATAAAGAGCTGTGGTCAGACATGTATCTGTTAATGCCTTTAACCTTTCGTCTTGGCAGGGTATCATCTATTATGTAACATCTTCTCCAAAGCTAGAGGAATGGTTATCAAATGAAACAATGCAAGAAGGACTGCAGCAGTGTGCAGACCAAAATTATGTTGATGTGGACCCTACATTTAATCCTAATATTGATGAGGATTATGACCACCGGCTCGCGGGAATCTCCAGAGAGAGTTTTTGTGTCATTTACCTTAATTGGATAGAATATTGCTGCTCTCAGAGAGAAAAGGTAAGCACTTTTCAATTATTCAAGACATCTGGGAAGATCTATTGTTTTACTAGTCCAGTAGCATTTAAGTCCTGGCAAATGGTGCATTTTAAAAAGCAACAACCACATGGATGATTTTTTTTCCTTAAGTGAACCTTTTGTTTTATTATTTGTCAATCAGTTGGAAGTACTGTATTTTCCGGCATATAAGGCGACTGGGAGTATAAGATGACCCCCCAACTTTTCAAGAGAAAATACAGAGTTAGGGATATACTCACCGTTTAAGACGACTCCGCATTCCATGGAGACTGGCTGGGAGTGATGGCCCACTGGGTGGCCCCCGTGGTTCTCCCCGCTCTACTTTCAAGAATGCCTCAGCAAACACATCCCAGGCATGCCGCATCCCGGGGCTGCTGGGAGTCATCGTCCAGAGGCACAAGGAAGTGCCTTCGGATGACAACTCCCAGCAGCCCCATGCTACAGTGTGCCTGGGATGTGCTCGCTGAGGCATTCTGGGAACCGTAGGAGTCAGGAAACTACGCCTCCCAGAATGCCTCAGTGTGCACATCCCAAGCACGCCACTGCCGGGGCTGCTGGGAGTCATCCGAAGGCGCTTCCTTGGGCCTAGTCAAGCCCAGTGGCCTTCAAAGGAGGTGAACATCAGGGGCAGAGGAGGGCCATGAAACTAGAGCAGGGAGAGCGGCGAGGGCCGTGGGGACAGCCCAGCAGGCCATCACCCCCGGCAATACGGCCTGCCACTCCTCCCCATGCTCTCCCTCCACCCACTTCCTTCCTACGCCCTCCCTCCTCAGGCCGTGCCACTAAGGTAGTTGGATTTTATTCTTTCCTTTTAATTATTATTATTTTAATTTTATACCCGGCGTACTAGACGACCCCCGACTTTTCATAAGATTTTCCAGGCCTAAAAAGTTGCCTAGTACACCAGAAAGTACGGTAATTTTTAACCACCCTTCATAGTAATGGATACCACATGGTGTATGAGAGGCACTGAAAGACTAAAATACATCACAAATTAGAGTTCAATTAAATAAGAAATCTGTCATCATAATAAAAACAAAGGAGCATAAAACAGCACACCAAACCTTCAAAAGTTAAAAATACAAAAAAAAATCTGAATTTTAAATAATATGGAAAAAGGGAGACAAAGGGTTAATTTCCAGATTATACATATACATATTAAGCTACAACATGGAGGATAACACAGTCAAGACAGTAATGGGCCAAGGACCTAGGTAGACCAATAGAATTGGATAACTGGGAATATTTATGAAACAAAGGATTCAAATTTACACTATCTGGATCAATTAGGGAGAATCTATATAAAATGTTTTATAGATGATATATCACCCCAGCAACATTGGCAAAAATAGATAAATCACAACAAGATATTTGCTAGAGGTGTATGAAACGGAAAGGAATATTCTTCCACATGTGGTGGACCTGTGAGACTATACAGGCATTTTGGGATAAGGTAACTAAAGAGACAAATAAAACGCTACATAATAAAAAATTTAAAAGCCCAGGGTTGCATCTATTAGGTTTACACAGAGAAAACTGTAACCAAAAGGACAAAGAAATATACCAATATAGTTTTGCTGCTGTAGGATTAACCATAGCCAAAGACTGGAAAAGGGAAAAAAGTTTCACTAAAAAGGATTGGAGGGAAAGAATGTGGGAATATATGCTGATGGGCAAATTAACTAATATCAGGAGGAACAAAAGTAATGAGGAATGTATGGAAAAGTGGAAGTTGGTCATGACATATCTGAGTGGAGAGTCAATGACATAGAGGAGTACCATTGGAAATTTCGGATTACTGTGAATAAGCATAGATGAATTGACTTAAACACTTCATAGCGTTTTAGTGTTGGAAGTCATGGTGAAGGGTGCATGGGTGTGGGAAAGAGGTTTTATTTTGTGTGTGATAGGGGTGTTGGGAGTATGTATGGTTAGTAATACATCATGTGGTTGTTTGAATGTTATGGTTAACTTTTATGTTGATAAAAAATTAAACCAAAAAAAGGTAAAAATACTTGAATAAGTAAGTCCAGTAAGTCTGCGTATTGCATGAGGGATCAATTTATTTTTCATGTATTACCTGAAACCCCTTTTCTCCAGTCGACATGCCGCTGAAAACAGATAATACAATATAGTACACAGTAAAAGTCTCCCTTCCTCCCTGTACTCACTTACTGCCTCATGGAAGGAAAATAGCTCAAGGGAAGACTCAAGTCTGGTGGCACAGTCTTTTCAGTGCTGAGTTCCCAAAAGCAAATCTCTCCTCGGGTGCCAAATCTGGCAGAAGCCCTGCTGTGCAAAGCCATGCAGAAGCCAGGGAAAGGAATCCATTTCTTTCTTAATCAGAGAGAAGCACCTGAAGCCCAGATCTGTTTCTCACCCCAGAGACGGGAATCAATTTCCTTTCTTTGTGAACAGAAACACAACAGGGTTTCAATCCCTTCTGTCCACTGAGGAAAGAGATGGATTGTTATTCTCTGGGGAGAAAGGTGTATGGCGCTACACAGGTTTATCCCCAGATTTGACCTTTCTCAGTGGAGAGAAATTCAGAGGGACTTTGGTCAGTTATATCTGACAAAAAAAAATGCATAGAACAGTGAGAATGATATTTTACACATTCAGGACATTTATTCAAGGGCCTGGGTTTATGTGAGCACAATGTCTTCAGTTTGGACAGAATGATTTGTGCTAGGATTCCAAAAGTTGGGCAGTCAAGCAAATAAAAGCTTATGCATTGTGGCACTGTAGTATATTTATAGTCATTTTGAACAATATTAGATGGTAGTAGTGTTGCCAGGATGCTATTCCAGCCAAGCAGGAGTCAGAAACAATGATTTTGCCAGGTGTTGCAAAGACTTTCCTGATGGTAGAGGAAGCCATAAATATTCTAGCATTTAACTCTCTAGTACCAGTGGTGCAGTTTTGCATCTTCCTTATATTCAAAACGTTTATAATGGTCATTTTGTATTTCATAAAGTGAAGATGTTCACTTTTCAGAGACTCCCTCTCTGAAGAGCAGGTTTTTCTACTGGAAAATGTTCATGAAAAGATGACTTCACTGCTGGTTAAGATACATGTAAAACATAGCTATAATTCTTCCCACAATAGTAACTTCCTATCTGTTTTACTCCAATCTTTTCATTTTTTCTCTCTACTTGAAGCCTCTGAATGCAGATAAAGATTCTTCTCTAGTCACTCTTTGCTATGGACTCTGTGTTCTTGGTCGGAGAGCTCTGGGAACTGCTTCACATCATATGTCTAGGTAATGTGTTTATTTCAAAACTGGGAAGAATAGAAAGGTCAGGCCATTTGAATTCTGTCATTTCATATGTCTTTTCATTCCCTCTGTAAGATGTTAGTATGCAAATGTATCTCCCACTCTGTTTGTGTGAAGGAAGCTGAAAATCTGAATAGCTGACATGTGCCTGCAGATGAAAGTTATCAAGGAAATGACTAATTCTGTTAGCGTGTTGAGGGAAAATGATGAGCCTAGCTCCTACAATAATAGCACAGAAAAATTCTTCACTCCTTGCATAAGATTGCTGAGCCACTCTCATCTAGACCATTTCAAGAGTCTTATTTTACAGTGACAAATTAGTAACAGCAATAAATGACACAATTTTGGGGCCTCTTCTCTGCTAATGAGTGCCAAATTCTTAATATCTAACCTTAAGGGGAGGGAAAGACAATAGGATATCAGATTTACACTAATCCTTTCAAGAACAGAGTATTCTAAGGATGATACTGAAGGAGAAAAATCATTTCAGCTTCTTTAGGCAGAGTTACTTGAGATGATTACTTGCCTTTCAGTGTTACAACCCACAGTGTTCCAGACTCCTTAGCCATTTTCAACACAGAATTAAAATATTCTTCTAATATAAAATGTTGAATACTTGCTACAATAAATGTGTTTCTTTTCCAAACTAAACAGTAATCTGGAATCCTTCCTGTATGGACTTCATGCATTGTTTAAAGGAGACTTTCGAATTTCATCAATTCGAGATGAATGGATATTTGCAGACATGGAGTTGTTGAGGAAAGTTGTTGTCCCAGGAATACGCATGTCATTAAAACTGCATCAGGTATAAATATTGCTCAAGCATTGGGTCTGCAAGTCCTGTAGATTAGCTCAGCTCAAGTTATTTGCAGGTGCTGTGTTGCCTTGTTATTGTATAGAGATTTAACTTTATAAAGTTCTAATTTTTAAAGTGAGAAAGGCAGACATTTATGGAAAGTATTCAGTGGAAAAGCCAGCTTGTCAAAGTGCACAATAAGAATTGGCTCAATATTGCACTTCAATTTGAATTGTGTTTAATTCATGGATGGTGTTGTATTTACACAGCAGGTGTATCGGAATTTTTGAAGCATATTTTGTTAATGTATTAGGGAGCTTATCCAGGTATATATATTTTTTTCCAGAAGGTCTTGGTCTTGGAAAATCTTATTTTTTCAAGTACATTTGTGACTTTTCCCTGTCAGATTTCTGTGAAATCCTTAATTTTTATTGCTTACATTTACGAAAGCAGCCTCTGAAGCTTTTAAATATATTCTTTTAAAACTTTCTTCTCAAATGTGTTTTAATGTCTATGCAGACTGATCTAACTTTTTGAATAGTTGCAATGTCATGATGTTTAATGTCGTTGCATGCCTCCAAATATACATTAATCTATCACAGCAAGATTTCCTCGGAAAAGGTTTGCCATTTCCTTTTCTAAGGCTCAAAGGTTGAGACTTGCCTAGGTCACCAGTGGGTTCTATGACTGAGTAGGCATTTGAGCCCTGGTCTCCTAGGGGTCTAGTCTGGCATTCAAAATAAGACAGCATGCTGGCTTTCTGCTTAATGTTAGCATTCATTAAAATGTGTCACTTTCCTTATAATAGTGAAGACATGAATAAACAACACCTGCATTTCTCCATTTAGGACCATTTCACTTCTCCAGATGAATATGATGACCCTGCCATTCTCTATGAAGCAATCACATCCCATGAACAAAATCTGGTTATAGCTCATGAGGGGGACCCTGCTTGGAGGAGTGCTGTCCTTTCCAATTCTCCCTCCTTGCTTGCCCTTCGCCATGTGATGGATGATGGCACCAATGAATACAAAATTATCATGCTAAACAGGCGCTATCTAATTTTCCGAGTTATTAAAGTAAGTTGTTGTGTGTGAGGGAAAAGATTTTAAAAAACCTTGGAAGAGTGTAACAAATAAGAAGTCTTCTTAAATGCAGTGGTGTCTCTCCCTCTTCACCAGAGAAGGTTTCATGACAAATATATGTTAAATGTGTTTTTGTTAAATTGCTTTGGTTTTCTTAGTAAAGGTAAAGGTTTCCCTTGACATGAAGTCTAGGGGGTGATGCTCCATTTCTAAGCCAAAGAGCTGGCATTCTCCGTAGACACCTTCAAGGTCATGTGACCAGCATGACTGCATGGAGTGCCGTTACCTTCCTGCCAAGGTGGTACCTATTGAGCTACTCACCTTCCATGTTTTCAAATTGCTAGGTTGGCAGAAGTTGGGCCTACCAACAGGAGCTCACACTGCTCCCCGGATTCAAACCACCAACCTTTCGGTCAACAAGTTCAGCAGCTAAGCGGTTTAACGCACTGCACCACCAGGGGGCTTTCATACCACTCTATATTTAACTGCTGTCTATACAAATAATAATGAAACGGAATTGGCATATAATCCTCTAAAAGATCATTCATACTCAGGGGGAATTTCAGTTAAATTTACATCTTAACAAGTGTGTTTATAAGTGTAGCTTGAGAACTGAAGCAAAGGAAAAGTCAGTCAGCCTTGGTTAACTTGTTCATTGTAACGAGATACTTGTTTATTGTTCATTTTTTAAAAAATAAATAGACTGTTTTTACATCACTTTTAGACTTAGATGGTAGGATGTAATCTCATAGCATTCAGGTAACTGTAAAACCGCCATAACCAGATCTGAGATTGTCTGCTACATGCTTCCCTGTTTTTATCTTCCTGTTGAGTTTCCTAATTATACATACCCTTTCAACTCTTTCAGGTGAATAAGGAGTGTGTGCGTGGCCTTTGGGCTGGACAGCAGCAGGAGCTGGTCTTCTTGCGTAATCGCAACCCGGAAAGAGGGAGCATCCAAAATGCCAAGCAGGCATTGAGAAACATGATAAACTCATCTTGCGATCAACCAATTGGATACCCGATCTATGTTTCACCCCTGACTACATCTTACTCAGACAGTCATGAGCAACTCAAAGAGATTCTTGGAGGTGCTATTAGTTTTGGAAACATTAAGAACTTCATAGTATCTACGTGGCATAGGTGAGTTGATAAAAATATCTTCAGAGGTAATTTACTGATGTGATTAAAATCTATGACAACTGTATTAGGACATAGCTCACATTGTAATAATAACAATAACGACGACAACAATTATTATTTGATTCCCTGCCTCCCCTTATGGCTCGGGTTTTGGGTAGTTTTATGTTCTGCCATTCCCCTTCTGTTGCAAATGCATTCTGTGATTGCAGCTGCAACTGAAGATTCACACGGTTTTCAATATGTAAAAAAGGTTCTGCTACTGCCTCACTTTAAATATTGTTCCAGTAAAATGAACGAGTCATGTGTGAGTGAGTTATACCCAGAGGACTGATCTTAGCTGTGCCACAAACTTGATTTTCAAAATTAATTTATCGCAAAATTCTCCAAACTGTTTGAGGACCCAGAAATATTCTGGAGCCTGTTTGCCTAGAACTGGATGAGCATATTCTTTGAAATCAATATACTTAATTGTAAGTACAGTACAACCACCATATCTGTGCAGGACACATTCCTGGACTTCATGCAGATATGCAAAACCCGATATTTTTAATGGGACAAACAATGGAGGTGCCAAGAAGTAGGTAAAACCTGTACAGGAGGCTCTCAGTCAATAAGTAAAACCATGCATATAAGTTCTGCTGATGTGGGTGTTAGACTGGAAAATTAAATTTGGTACTGGTTCAGCTGTGTGCAGTTCTCCGTTTGAAAATACAGAACATTCCATTGATATCCTTTATTGCAAATTATAATTGAATGTTTGTCACAACACATTAAACTATTTTCTATATTTTATTCCATTTAAAATTCAACATTGAGTAGTATTTTCATGTCGGATTTCTGTTCTTCTATGATATATACTTCAGTGTTGTCATGTTGCGCATCACATAATGCCATCAGAATTTGGATGGAATGGAGACTCCCCAGCATGACTTACACAGTCTTAGTGTTACAAATCATTTTAGGTGGGGAATATTTGTTTCCGTAGTATTCTGAAAGAACCTTGTGTCTGCTTTCCTCTAGTCCATTTTCTGTTGGGTTTCCATCATGTTCAGGTTAAGAAAAGGCTGTGGTGCTGGCTGCAACAGTGGAGGAAACATTGAAGACTCAGATGCTGGAGGTGGAGCCTCTTGCACAAGTAACAGTGCAACTGCCAATGACTCTCAGAGCAATGTATCTCAAGGAGGAGGAGGGAATATAACAGTTGGACCAGTACCTGGAACAGGACTGCATCCTCCTATCACATCTCACCCTGCTACTCTGGGTAAAGTTGAGCCAATATATTTGAATTATTGCAGGGATAGGAAATCCGTGGTCTTAGATGAACACTGGGCAAAAATCCATCAGTTCTTGTGGACATTATAAATCCCAATAACATCTAGAAAAGTGGTTCACTACCTGTGGGTCCCCAGATGTTTTGGCCTTCTCTCGCTGCCACCCCCGTCGAGAGAGCCTTCTCAGTGGTGGTCCCTCAACTCTGGAACTCCCTCCCCAGGGAGATCAGGCTAGCACCCTATCCACGTTTCGTAAGGAACTAAAGACATGGATGTTCTGTTGTGCATTTGATTAAACAATTCCCTTGCCTGTTGGCGCTAATCCGTGGCCTAAATATACTATGTCCCTGCACTTTGCTATTGCACTTTTAAAGTCAAATGTCCCTGTTATAATCTGCTCTAATCCTTATATTGCTACTTGATCTATGCACCTTACCGATTAGCCTTTTTCCTAACCTATTTTGCACTCCAGCCCACCTCCCACAATGAGACTTGAAGTATGTTCTTGGTTGTTGCTTATGATGGTTGTTTTATTATTGTCATAATGTTGTTTTATGTTGTTTTATATTATTGTTATATTTTATATGCTATGTTTTTAACTCTGTGTTTACTGGGCTTGGCCCCATGTAAGCTGCCCCGAGTCCCTTTGGAGAGATGGAGGGCGGGGTATAAAAATAAAGATATTATTATTATTATTATTATTATTATTATTATTATTATTATTATTATTCAACATCCAGAAATCCTAACAGCTGGTAAACTGGCTGTAATTTCTGTGAGTTGAGGACTAAAACACCTGGGGACCCACAGGTTGAGAACAACTGATCTAGAAGATCACAGGTTCTCCACCCCTTATTGCTTTGATCATACTGTTAGCAGAGTAGAGCAGGAAGGTGAGTGTGGGGAGGGAATTTGACATGAAAATGTATACAGAAGATCGAGATATTCTCTAACTAAATATTAAGGGACATAAGCAGTAGCACTTAGTTTGCCTCGCTGCTTTCTTGGACTAAACAAAACATAGCAGTTTAATAGTAGGCGTAAGATCAACTTGTCCTGCCAGATGATCTTAGGCCTAAAGGGCATGTAGTTCATTTGCATTTTATTAATCCAGTGAAAGACATGGGGTTGTTGTATACATCATAGTTGGCATATCAAGTATATTTTAAATCATTTCTAGTGACTCCTGTCAGCACCTGTGGTGAGCTGTGTGTTTGCCATGTTTACCACGTGAATCATACTTTTCTCTGTACAGTGCTTCAAAAGCATAGCATGGTACTGTAGAAAAAAAATTACCCAAACCAGTCAATGATCAGTGCAAGAAATATTGGCACAATGGTGGCACCTGCTGTTTAAGGTAGCAGTGCAATCTAGAAGTAGAAACTGTAAAGTGCACCAGCCCTGAGAGAAAACAGTTTGGTATGAATAAATTTTGAAAAGTGTACTTCAGTTCACAAAATAAATATATTCCTGGGCATCACCTTGCTAGATATTTGCTGGGCATTAGCAAGATAGTTCATTTCCCCTAATGAACGAAAGGTGTGATATTTCTGCTATCTCTCAGTTGCAGTGAGGTTACACTGAATTTTTCAGAAAACCAAAACCATTGTGTATAAAGCAAGAATATCTTTCCCAAGCAGTGTTATCAAAGGCACCATGGCCAGAATCACTGGGTTGCTGTGAGTTTTCCGAGCTGTATGGCCATGTTCCAGAAGCAGGAGAATGCTGCTTCTGGATCATGGCCATACAGTCCGAAAAACTCACAGCAACCCACTTTCCCAAGTTGCTTGCCAATTTTAGATCAAGCAAAAGTGCAAACCATAATATTAGTGTAACCTCATAGTATATGCGAAATGTGCACTTTTTCTCTGCTCTCACGGTCACATGTATTTCACTTCTAGGCACCAGCCATAGTGCTCACTCTGTGCAGTCCAGCCTTGTCAGACATTCCCCTGCCCGTGCCTCTGTTGCCAGCCAGTCATCTTATTGCTACAGCAGTCGTCATTCATCACTCCGCACCTCTACCACTGGCTTTGTGCCTTGCCGGCGCTCGTCCACCAGCCAGCTCTCCCTTCGTAACCTCCCATCATCCATCCAGTCACGTCTATCCATGGTGAACCAAATGGAACCTGCTAGCCAGACGGGGGCTGTCAGCGTGCAGCATGGCTTGCCTTCTTCAAGCAGCTCCAGCCAAAGCATCCCAGCCTGCAAACAGCATGCCCTGGTTGGCTTTCTAGGGACTGATGGAATGAATAATAGTACAGATATGCAAGCAGGCACAAATGTGAGCCCTGTAATCCAGCCACAAACCAAAAGGGATGATGTTGTTTACAGAATCCAGGTGAATCAGTTGGAGAAATAGACTAGATTTTTTTCCCTATGTGTCTTTGCTTTTAATACCAGTTTTTATTACTTGTCAATGATATATGTTCAGGACTTGATTATCTCATGCCCTAATGTAATGCAGCATGGTATCATGAAGGCATGATTCTACTTGGAACATTTTGTGAAATCATATACTTTTACTCTACTGGCATTTCCTTATTTCTTAGCAATAGCTACAGACCACAATACAATGAACAAAGACTGTAAAAAATCTTTCCAAAAGAAGAGACCATTACTGCAATGAATAATGTACTGTCTTAGGAAAGGAGGATTGTATCTATCTGAAGAGGGAAGGGGGTTAATTTAACTTTAAGTCAGGGCTGGTGTACCTGCAACCCCCCAGGTGATGTTGGGACTACTCCTTTTGCTGTTCATAACCATACTGGTCTAGGGCTAATAAGAATCAGAAGCCAAAAATATTAGATGATCAAGTCCTGTTTTAAATGAATACTGTTTTAAATGAATATGACACCTTTTCTGCCGCAGATAACTGATACCAGCCAAGTACTGGAAGGGATCAACTTGTCTAAAAGAAAAGAACTGCAGTGGCCAGATGAAACGATAAGGTTAAAAGCTGGAAGAAACAGCTGGAAAGACTGGAGTCCTCAGGAAGGCATGGAAGGCCATGTAAGTTTCGATTCTGCCACAGATACTGGGAAGAGGCACATTGGTTCTAAAGACCATGTTGAATATACAACACAGGTGTGCACATGCTTTGTGTTGAAAAACAAACAAAGTAAAAAAAACTACTGTATATACTCGAGTATAAGCCGATCCAAATATAAGCCAAGGCACCTAATTTTACCACAAATAACTGGGAAACATATTGATTCCAGTATAAACCAAGGGTGGGAAATGCAGCAGCTACTGGTAAATTTCAGAATAAAAATAGATACCAATACAATTACATTAACTGAGACATCAGTAGGTTAGATGTTTTTGAATATTTACATAAAACTGTAATTTAAGATAAGGCTGCCCAATTCTGATTAAACCATTTTTATAACTTTCTTCAATGTAAATGTGCTTATGTATCTTTCCAATAATAATAGAGTAAAATAATAAATGTAATAATAATAATAATAATAATAATAATAAGAATGAATAGAGTAAAATAATAAATGTAATACAAATAATAATAATAACAGAATAAAATAATAAATAACCCTGACTTGAGTATAAGCCAAACGGGGACTTTTTCAGCCTAAAAAAAGGACTGAAAAACTAGGCTTATACTCGAGTATATACAGTATGAGCAAGAAAAAACACCAGATTACTTTGCTGAGACAATACATCCATGAGTGGACATCAGGCCCACTCTGAAGTATGAGAGATGCACATCTTATGGATGAAACATAGAAATGTAGTGTTTCCCCCACACCACATAAAGCAAGGAGAGGGAATTTGTGTCTTTCCAACTACATCTCCCATAATCTCTCACCCTTGAGAAGGTTGGCATGATTAAACTTCAGCAATATGGTGAAGGGCCACACGTTTTTTGCCCCATATGCAGAGAGAAGACTAGGACCTGATCATCCAATGTGGCTCATTGTTTTATCATGAAATAATATTGATTTTACAGAATAATAGCAATATTCATCTAACAATTCTTTTTTTTAATCCCTTTTTTTTTTTTTTACTGATGCTCAGGTGATTCACCGATGGGTGCCTTGCAGCAGAGATCCAGGGACTAGATCTCACATAGACAAAACCATACTGCTGGTCCAGATTGAAGACAAATACGTTGCTGTGATTGAAACTGGAGTTCTGGAACTAGGGGCTGAAGTATGACCCGCTTTTCATAGTTAACTTCTTGTCCGTTTCCAAAAAGCTTAAAAATGAGGTGCAAATTTCAAGAGGATGTTTCTGATGCCTCAAGTAATAGGAAAAGACTTGAAAAACAACTGGGTGGGTGTGTCAGCCTCTGGCTGAAATAAGCAAGAAGCTGAGCTGCTGAGGAAAAACATTGTGCATGAAGGGTAAACACAACATATCTTTGTTTTATACTTTATTTTATGCATTGCAATGCTTTGAAAGAATCCAGCATTTTCCAGTTTTAAAAAAGGAACATCTCATTTTAAAAAAAAAAAGTTTTGCCAAAAATGGCCATATGTTGTCACAGTAATGTAGACTCTGTTTGTTCTTTCTTTTTTTAAATACCTGAAAAGGATACACATTTTGAGTTCAGTGTAAAGCAGAATTGAGAATTTGTTCATGGCAAGTGTGACCAGACTTAAATTCTTATTCCTTGTGAGTTATAAAAAAAATCAATCAAAAACTGCACTATTTTTTTTATGGCAATGCACTAAAAAAATTCTGAGATCGCTCAGAACATTTATTTATATATATTATATGTATATAAATATATAGAAAGAAGAAAATACCATTATTTAAATTGCCTTTGGGATTAACCCTCTCCCCACTCCATATTCATATTGATGATAGGAAATGTGCCATTGATTATTTTTGTTATTGTTGTTGTTTAATACATTAGTTTGCACATCTGTGCATTCCTACTATCCTATTCACAATATATGATGGAGTATAAATATAGAATAAACATCTGAAATTTCTGTTTTTCATAAAACAAATTGACGGTGCAGATGTGCAGCAATTTCACAGTCTTATTGTTGGCCCAATCACACAGTTGTGCTTTTTCTTCTTCCCTCTTCATCTGGTTTCCAGTGGTCACCAGCAAAAATACACTACTAGCATCCTTTGGAAGAAGCTTGCTTTTTGCAAGGAAAACTGGATGGGCCCGAGTTGTTCTTTTGTGTTTTTTAAAAAGGGTATTGTGGCTTTCTTTGTGTTGGGACTTCTTAGTATATGTAATCAGGTGAAACAACTTTTTTAATTAAAGAAAAATAGAAACTGCACCGCCTGATCATCATACCATTTCGCCTTTTAGCTCCCTTTAGTTATTATTATTCTTTTTGTGACTTGAATTTTATTTTCAGCTATTATATATTCTATAATAACTGTAGTTTTGAGTATAACTGTGAAATTGATTTTTGTTGCATATCTTAGGTTTTACCGTGTTCGAAGGGGGTTTTTTTAGTGTGTTTTCTGGGAAACAAGTTACTTATACAGCATTGGGACAGGGAGCGAAAGCTGCAGTATATTCCACGATCTGTTGCTTCGATGATTTGCTTGCAGCCATCATGAAAAGGTGTATGTGGAGTGATGGTTTCCTTTATGTGTTCTGGAACACAGTCAACAATTACAGCTTTTAGAAGCAGCCATCTTCTCTTTAATGTTCTCAATATTAAGTGATTCATGGGTGATCATGCAAGGGAGGCATTGTAGTGAAATAAAAAACATTGCATACCTAGGATAAGAGCTGAAATTTGATCTCATCCAAAGACATTTGAAAGTAATGACCTAACACTAATGGTCCAGTGCCACAACAAAAGGATTTAGGACTTTGTAAAGTAACAATAAATTGAGCATTGCTTTATTTTCCAAATATGCTGAGTTAGATTGTGGCTGTGACCTGTGTGCATCAGTTGATCACATGAGTGGCAAGATACTTTTAATTTAGCACCTGACTGTATTTCATCATTTCACAGTGATTTACAGAGATTCACTCCCCCCTCCTTCGTCCAACCAGATCTCAGTGATGTCGGCCAGGTCGGCATGCTCATCCAAGATTAGGCCTTTTGATGAGTCGTTCTTGGTTCCCTTCCCAATTGACAACTACATATGTGCTCTTTTATCACTCACATCTTAAGTTTTCCAAGAAGGTGCATAAGGAAAAGGCAAACAATCTTGTAAAAATATATTGGATGATTTCTTAGACAATTAAATCCACCAATAAACTTTACTTTTAAAGTTTCAGCTTGAAAGAGGCAAGGAATTGAGTATAATATGGCCCATGTTATGTTTCTTTGCTAACAAGGCCTTTCTCTTTCTCTTTTCTAACATCTAGTGGGGAACAAACATCATCTCCATCTGAGAATCTGAATATTCTCTTTCACTTGGGACTAAAATGTAGAATTTAACATGAGTTTCTAACTTCAAGACTTCAGGTTCTGGCATTTGGTATTTAAACCTGTTGATAATTTAATTTGGTTGTTTGTAAGCATTGATTTTTGGTTACACTAGTTTTACATATAAAACTCATCTACTTTCCAGTGAATGTTTCACAAGGAGATATGTAACTCATATGGCAAAAGCCTTTGAATGATTCTTTAGGGCAAAATACAGGCAGCAAAATCCTAACTGTGAAACCAAATAACCCATCCGTGTGGGTCCTCTTATTCAATCCCTCATCCTCAGGTTTCTTGACTTGACTCTTTCCCATGAATTTGGGAATCGAGCTCTGGGATGCTTAGTTTTTATATGACCACCTACCAAATGCATCGAGAATTTTTAGGCAAAACCCATCTGCTTTTCTCTTTACTCACCGTATTAGGTCAGTCTGTAAACCAAATGATACAATTGCTATACAGCTTTCATTATGTGAAGCTGTGATGTAACCCAACATTTATGTGGTTACGTATATTATAATCTTTCCAACAAGATGTGCAATCTGTTTTTGAATTCTTACAACTTTCAGAACTCTTTGCCATTCAGTTCTCAATGTTGTATGCACATGGGAATCCAGAAGTATAGATAAATGTCTCTTTTCCTAAATTAGCTTCTGCTAATATATATCTAGTAACAGACTATGAAGATTTGTCTTTGTGCAATGGATGTTTTTAATTCTATACTTTATGATCTGTCTTCAAAACTAGGGGTTGAACATTAAATGCAGGAGCTTTCATACCTGCCCAGTGGAATATCCTGGATAAAGTTATCCAAAACTTTCCTTACCTCTTTTGAAATGCTTTGATTTTCTTACAGAACAAACTATTCCATACACACCAAATATCCAAGTAACTTTCTTTATCAACTCAGAAATGGAAATGTGTCCTCAGTAGGTGATGAGAAGAGCTTTTTTATAAAGCAGTTCCCATTTTAAGAGCACTTGGCATGTCTCTGCTTTTAATTCTGTCATGGCGTTACCTCCCAGTTTTGCTTCTGAGGAGCTAATAGTCACAAAAAAATATGATAATGCTGACTAGATGGAATAATATGGTAGAAGCAATTGAACAATGCTTTAGGGCAAAATATTACCAAAGCAGGCAGTGGAATCCCTAATAGTGAAACTAGATAATAACCCATCAACATGGGCCCTCCACTTCAAGCCCTTGAAGAAAGTTAAAATCACAACTCAATGAAGAAGTATACATGGAAGAAACCTTCAAAGCATACAGAGATACTTCATATAAATTATGGGGTTAGGCCACCATGGTATTATATACCTAATTTTATTAAGGGATTTTCTTACCTATTATATAGGTTTCTACTTGTCTGGCCTTACTTGGTGTCTAAAACCCTTTGCTCTGTGATGATAGACAGCATAAGAAATTATAGCAGTATTTAATATGTGCCTTAGTAAAATGATGGTGGGTACATAACACCTTGGTGGGAGCTACAGCCCTTGAATAGTTTTCACCCATTTTTAAAGGCTCTTTTTAAGATGGCTGTTCCAAAAGGCTTTAGAAGTGTAACACACCATTCATAGGCAAGCACTTTTTAAAAAATACATGCCATTTAGACGTTTCTACTGTGTGTACACACAACCCAGTGAAGTTGCTCTGCTTATGACTTCAGCAGATGGAAATCATATACCTTGAAAGTCAAACTTATTAGCATCCTTATCAAACGTAGCCTGACAATGAACTGCTAATGAATACATAGATTGTGGTGGGTGAAAATGTTGGAACTTGGAAATATATATTTTGCATCAACCAGCGTATAGAAATCTTGCCAGGGATAGGATATGTGTTTGTGTGTGTGTGTGTGCGTGCGTGTGCGAGCGTGTCTGCGAGTGTGTTGTTGGAAAGAACCTGTAAATATTTGTAGTTGTTTAAAACTGGGAAACCCTAAGGGGATTTGTTTGCAACATGTTACATTGACATGGACAGTATTGACAGTGATGAAATAATGAAATAAAAAAATCTTTTTCATCCAGTTGTCTGTGATTTTATTTTCACCTTTAGTTTCCCACATCTAAGGCTTTCAAATAACTACACATTCTGCCTATTTCACATTGATCTTACTCACAAAGAGTAAAAATGTAAATATATCCTCTGCTCTTGATCCTCAAAGGGTTTAAACTAAAAAGCCATTGCCTGTGTGATCTAAATAGTTGGTCAATATTTTTTCATAACCTCTCATATCACCCATGTAACCACTATCAAAGTCTGAACTACTCTCAGAGGTTTACTTCTACATTCATGTTTGGTTCATTATAACTGAGGTATACTGCAGTAGGAAATGGGTGGATTTATTTTTGTTTCAGTCCATGATTACTTTTAGGAGTTCACATCAACATTCCCCACCTTTTCTTTTACAATCGGAAAGTATTTTTGTGGAAATGCTGATCTGATACAAGGCTATAAATATTATATACGGGAGCATTTCATACAACTGCAAGTGTATTTTTTAGCAAGTCAAACTAATGGTTTGTAGTGTTGTCTGTTGTGGACAACACTTTGAACAGGAACTATTTGGTAACTTTGAAGACATTGGAGGCTGAACCTGGGATAATATCTCAGTAATGTCAATAACCACTTCTTTATGGATGAGGCATTATAATCAACCCAAATTTCAGTGCAAGTTGTTTTGAGGTTAAGGGAATAATGACTTTCCTATGGCCACCTAGTGAGTCTGTGAGTGAGGTAAGATTTGAGACATGGACCTCCCAGGTTCACACTGTTATTTACTAACTGGATCTTACATACACATCAGATCATTGGTACTCAGATACAGCCTGAATTTATCACACTATTTTCCCCTCATGTTGAAATATATTAAATGGGAAGCTTTTAAAAAATAGATATGAAATGTATGATGTGGCTGTTCAACCTACTGAAGAACACTGACAGAAGGTTGGGACATTTTTTGTAAGATGCTGTTTGCTTCATTTGCTATTGGCATCTAATATGCAGGAAGTAATTCCATTCACTGGACCAAGTTTGGCACAAATATCAAATACACCCAAATTTGAATGCTGGTGGGGTTGGGGGTAATTGATTTTGTCATCTGAGAGTTGTAGTTGCTGGGATGTATGGATAACCTACAATTAAAGAGCATTCTGAAGTCCACCAACAATTTAATTGAACTAAACTTGGCACACAGAACTCCCATGACCAAAGAGAAAATACTGGAACGGTTTGATGGGCATTGACCTTGAGTTTTGGAGCCGTAGTTCACCTACATCCAGAGAGCACTATGCGCTCAAACAATGATGGATCTGGACCAAACTTGGCACAAATACTCAATATGCCCAAATTTGAACGCAGTAGCAAAATTACAGTTATCAAGTAGCAAAGAAAATAATTTTATGGTTGGGGTTCACCACAACTGTATTAAGTGGGCTCAAAGCCAACCTTAAAAACTCTGGCATAGACAGAACTGGGAAGCCCTGACCCTTCCACCTTGAAATCGATGCCCTCACTGTGGGAGAAGATGCAGATCAAGAATAGGGCTCCACAGTCACCTACGGACCCACCGCCAGGACACTACACTTGGAGGACCATCATCCTCAGACTATGAGGGATCGCCGAAGGAAGGAAGGAAGGAAGGAAGGGGTTGCAGCATTAGGAAGATTGAGAAACAATGAAATATGTGTACTTAGACTATGTTTTATTGTGATGGACCTTCAAGTCAATCCTATATTAGTTTTTCATGACAGGATTTATTCAGATTATGTTAGCCGTTAGTTTCCTCTAAGACCTGGAACTAACAGAATGAAATTGCAAGCCTTGCCTGAATATAAAAGAACCCTTGGATAGAATCACATTCACCCTCACATTCACAGAATCGCCCTCACTACCTCTGAGGATGCTTGCCATAGATACAGGCGAAACGTCAGGAGAAATGCCTATAGAACATGGCTCTATAGCCCGAAAAAACCCACAAGAACCTAGAATCACATTCATCAGATACATTAAGGGACATAACAAGATGGATAGGATTGTTCAAAGTTAGCTATTTGGTTTTCGTACCTTATCTTTGTCTCTCAGAGTCTTAGATCAACATTGAAAGCATTATACCATGCTGGCTCTGTGGTTCACTTTGTTCCAGAACTTGAATGGGGGAGGAAAGGAATGTTCCAGTCTTGGGGGTGGTGGTTGAGAGTTGTAAGTGACACATAGAAATTACTTGAGACAGTTCCAGATATATGGGGAGGGAAGAGAGACTTGGTGCCAGAGACGGGAAAGTAGCAGAACCTAGATGAGCAGAAGTCACATGAATGTTAAGAGCACAAAGACATGGATGTAGCCAGGCTCATGGAAAGTTCTGAAGTTTCCAACAGCTTGTTTAGGGTACAGGAGGACTCACCAAGGGATTTAAGGACAGACAGGTGCTACACAAAGCAACAAAAGAAGTGAATTTGAAAGCAGAGCCCTGGATAATTGTTAGAGGATGGGGAAAAAACAGAACTGGTTAAGCTATGAGATTTATTTATTTTTTGTCGTGTCAGGAGCGACTTGAGAAACTGCAAGTCGCTTCTGGTGTGAGAGAATTGGCCGTCTGCAAGGACGTTGCCCAGGGGACGCCCGGATGATTTGATGTTTTTTTTATCATCTTTGTGGGAGGCTTCTCTCATGTCCCCGCATGAGGAGCTGGAGCTGATAGAGGGAGCTCATCCACCTCTCCCCGGATTTGAACCTGCGACCTGTCGGTCTTCAGTCCTGCCGGCACAGAGGTTTAACCCACTGCGCCACTGGGGGCTCCTAGCTAAGAGATGATCAAGATATTTAAAATGGCTTTATATACATTTATATACTATACATAGTTTTTATTTTTTAGGGCAAACAATGATCAAGAGTTATGAGCAACTCTTTTAACACGGGGCCACTGATGGAGGTTCTCTCAAGCTAGAAAGTCTCCTGCTGAAAGTAGGCCACAGAATCCTGAGCAGCATATCTAGATCTCTACGTTATCTAAACTATATTCCATTTATTTATCGACCATGTATTCAATAAAACATGAATAGCACGTGCTTATGTAGGTTGATGAGGCAGAAATGATCCTAGGACACAACTAATTTGCCACAAGCAATGTCAAAATAGAATTCCACACTTATTTATTTTATTTATTTATTTCATGTACTTATACCCCGCCCTTCTCAACCCCCGAGGGGGGACTCAGGGCGGCTTACAAAAGGCACATCTCGGTGCCTACACAAATACAGTAACATATAAAACCAGCAATTAAATGGTCAACAATTAAAACACTTAAAAACAATATATCACACAATCGATAGCCAATCTCATACACAGCGTTCACCAACTCAGAGTTCATATTTCGTTCCACCATTGTCCAATTCCTATCCATCGTCACAGTCCCTTATTCATCTGCTAGAGTGCCCAAACGCCTGGTCCCACATCCACGTCTTTAATTTCTTTCTGAATGAAAGGAGGGATGTTGCTGATCTGATCTCCCCGGGGAGTGCATTCCATAGGTGAGGGGCCACCACCGAGAAGGCCCTGCTCCTCGTCCCCGCCAATCTCACTTGTGACAGAGGCGGGGTCGAGAGCAGGGCCTCCCCAGAGGATCTCAGACTCCGAGATGGGATG